AAATAAATAAATAAATAAATAAATAAATAAATAAATAAATAAATAAATAAATAAATAAATAAATAAATAAATAAATAAATAAATAAATAAATAAATAAATAAATAAATAAATAAATAAATAAAAATATAAATAAATAAAAATAAAATGAGTAGTGTTTGGATCCTCATACGTTTTAATATAATCATTTGCCAATCTAATACTGCTAAACCAGCTAAAATTGTCTTCAACTTTATTAAATATATCCTCACTGAGGTCGTCTATGATGAAAACAGTACACTGTGACATCTTTGCTGTGACCTAGAGTTGTGACTGCGATCGCGAGATGGAAAACAATCGGAGTTTTCAAATTTAAAGAAAAAAAAAACCTCCGATTTCGGAGTTTCTGCGTTAATTAAACAAGGTCTCCCTATATAGAGAGAGCAAAACGAGCCGATTTCTGAGGTTTCTGCGTACCGGTACTATGGGCCTACGCGAAAACTAAAAAATCGGAGTTTTCAAACTTTCAATCAAACCTCCGATTTCGGAATTTCTGCGTACTATACGCGAAAACTGCAATTGGAGTTTTAAAACTTTCAATCAAACCTAAAATCTCCAAAATCCTACAAACTCCAAAATCGGAGTTTTTAAACTTTCAATCAACCCTTCGATTTCGGAGTTTTACGCATACTCCTGAGCGCTGCAGATAAAGCCTGGTTCCTTCAAACCCTGCTAGGCCTACTGCGTAGCAGTCCCTGACGCAATCGGGAAGGCTCCCATATTCGACCGACCAAACAACATCACCGAAAGCTGTCGGCGACAGCATGTAGCTTGGAAACCAAGCTTAAAGGCCTGTTTATACTTCAACGATAACGATAACGTTAAAAAAGCTAAAAAGCTAGAAAACAAAAGAAATAAGAGAAGTTTTCAGAGAGGACGATTCGATAACGATTTATCGTGTATAAGATAACAAAATATTTTCACAAATCAAATCAGATGACGTCATAATCATGGAAAAACGATAAAATCGTTGATAGTACTACGATTTTAATGTTTTTCCATGATCATGGCGTCATCTGATTTGATTTGTCAAAATAGGCCTATATTGTTATCGCATAGGCCTATCTGATAAATCGTTATCGAATTGTTCTAGTGTAGAAACCTCTCTTATTTCTTTTATTTTCTATATGAACAATTTCTTTTTAGCTTTTTTTATCCACTATCAAGTTTGTGCCCTTGAAACAACGACACGATTGGGGTCGACCGACATAGAAAATTGTCTTGTGTATTATTCAATCCTTGGTATATACGTGATCATGTGGCTCTTTGTTATTGGACGTATTTCAACAATACGATCACATAACTGTCGGAAGTTCGGCCCACGGTCCGCTCACTCAGATTTCATTCCGCTCTTTGTCTCAGTTTCAAAATAAGCCTATATGACATATTTTGTCAAAAACGAAGCGAATGAAAAAAAAATGATTTGCCAAAACAAGATCAAATTAAGAAAGTCTACATTTTATTATCTATAATTTTCCTTGAAAGATTTCATGCGCTCCATCACTTCATGCAAATGCAGTACAAACGAAAAAGTTTTTAATCTACTACTAGGCCTACACTATTTAAAAAAAAAAAAATAAGAACCAGTAAAATTTTGCCCGGGCTCAGTGTTCTTATTTTTTGCCTATCGCAGGCTCAAGTTGTACTTATTTTGTTCTTATTTTTTGCACTTTTCAAACATTGAGAACTATAGGCCTATTTTACAGTAGTATATCACTGTACGAAAATATAATACATAGGCCCAGGCCTCCAAGTATTGACATGCCCGCCATCGTGTTGGAATTCAATATTTCGACATTATTTATGTCATCATCAGGAAAAGTATATCACTGTACTGTATTATAGGTGGTAGGCATAAGCCTATTACATAGTCACAACTACTGCAAATAAGGTACAGATAAGATGTGTTGGTTTTCTATTTAAAAAAAATAAAAACTTCATTTGACAATTTACCTCAGCCTCAATTTGTCCTTATTTTGTTCTTAATTTAGTGTTCTTATAAAATGTATTCTTATTTTTTTTTTAAAGTGTACCGGCTGAATATCCACTGACTAAATTTAAGGATTAATCTGGAAAGTGACTCAATCCTCATGTTTCCAGATCACTGAATTCTGCTTTGTGACAAGTTCTTTTCTTTTTTTTTTTTCATTAAATGTGTTAATGGTCACAAAATACGTCCCTTCCCGTTCTGCCGCAACAGTCAAAAAACGAAGAGTAGGCCTGGGCCTATACAAATTGAAAAAGAAGGGAAGGAAAAAAATCGTAGGTCTGTGAAGCGTTGGGTTGACACATCAGTGGTCATTTTTATCACTCTTTTTAAGTCTTGATATTATACAGTATAGGCCTAGGCCTATTTATTGATATTGTTTTCAGTATTAGGCCTATACTGTAGGCCTATTGTACCGTTTTAATATCAGACCTAGGCCTATTATATTAACTGAAATAATTCATGGCTACGGATACCTAGACCCATCATGGTTTTTAATACTACCCCCTCTCGTTGAACCCATCGAACCTAGTTTTGTGAAGCCGTTTCTTTTAAATAATCAACGCCCCTCGCTTCTCGGCTTCACTACTCAATTCCTTTCTGTCTATCACTCAAAGACGCCTAAGTTTATTTTAGGTACACCATCTCCGACCTGTACCCATTGGTACTCGTTCAAATCCCTTTAAGTTTAATGTTATGCACTGCGATTCGTAGCATTTATTTTGAGGTCTCCAGACCACAATAAAAATAGCCTACAGTAGGCCTACGTCGGTGATTGAGAGTGAGAGATAGGACTGGACTGGGCTCAGACCTAATAAAAATCTGAACAATCGTATTGATGGCCATGATAAACGTTTAAAAGACAAATTCCTCATACACATTCGTTTTAATCGGTGTTCTAATTATATAAGATTCTAATTATATTCGCTGATCGGATCGGAAGGTTACGACGAACGTCTTGCCGAAGCAACTCCCTGGACGAATATGGTATAATACAACCGGTAGACTTTGCTAGCTACATGCATCGACACAGAAAACAATTAAATAATTGGCGATTGTCCACTCCGTTTTCGTATAGCGTACTACCACCCATTCCAAACCCCACCCATCGTCAACGGACCCCCAACGACGTTTAAAAAGATTGCGTTGTTTGTCATTCATGATGCCGAGTCGACAAAATTTGACCTCTGAGGAAGTAGCGTCATTAGCGTACTAGATTACGAGGTAAATAAAATTAAAGTGCAGATCAATGCGCCATTCTTAATTACTGAAACAGGATAAATGGCCAAGTTATGAACATTTGTTTAAAATAATATATATACTTATATTTTATATTTACTATATTACGTAATAATACTTTATATTTTTGTAAAGAGTTAGTTACTATACTTAGAACTACTTTACTACAACCTTCCATTCATCCCCGAGGTCACTTTAAGGTAAATAACTTCCAATATGGCGGCCGTTGAAATGGATCCGAATCGAAAATGAAGCGAAGATTAATGCCTTTGTTTCAAAATACCAATGTGTTTCCGGATTCTAAAATGTTCAAGATGGTAGGTCGTAATTTTGTGCTCTTATTATTTATTATCTGGAGGTTTGCTTGCAAGTAATATGCATGAATTGGATGTAAATTATCGTTTCGAGATTTGCCTGAGATGAAAATGCGAAGTGAAGAAGTGTAGGTAAGCTGCACTGATGATGCAGTGTGAGTTTTGAGTGCGGTATACGATAGCGTCGCAGTAGTGATTGAATTCTGATTAATTCGAACGCTTGCACATGCTTTGGATATTCCTGTGCAGAATCCAGTAAAATGTGAGCATTTTCAAATATCAATCAAAATATATGTTTATGCTTTGATTGTGGATTTGTTTGCTGTCTGAGCTAGAGCAGAGGAGTTCGTCAAGATATTTAAAAATTGAAGCGAATTTCAAATGATACGGAATCCATTTCACGACAAACCATTCAGCCAATCACTGAAAATCATGTTGTGCGGATGTCTTATTAATTTCATTAACATGCTTTTATGAAATGCATACGATATCATATTGTAAAGTATTGGATTTTTTTTGTAACTTAAGATTATCCCATTTAGTCCTAAGTCTAATTATAATAAATTTAGTATAGGCCTAGGGCTAGGCCTAGCCTAGGCCTCGCTACTACAATAGGCCCTAGACAACTAGGCCTAGCCAGACATGTCGTTTGTACCCATTCATTCTGCAAGCAAGGTATTTAAAAAGCATGTTCACACACAATTCCTTGCATGCTTTTTTGTAGCTTACACCACAACAATTTTGCAATATTCTCAGATGTGTACACTAGGCCTATATTTTTAATCTATGTTTATGAACAAAAATGTCAAAATTGACTGAAAATATCAAATACCTCATTTGCTGTGATGATATGTGGTTAACCCTTCTGGAATGTTCATTTTCATCTGTCAACTACATAAGGCCTTCGGCCATTAAAAAAAATCTTCGGTTTCTGTTAAGAAAGTAAATTTATTTTGGGTGATAAAAAAAAAAAAATTTGTTTACAATATTTTGAACTGCTCAGGTGTTTGTTTCACATTAAAAAGTTTAATAATTGTTTTTAAATATGAGTTTTGTGGTTCATCAGTTTTGAGTGATCCCCAGACCCCACAACACTTTGTGTGGGTAGGGTCAAGGTGCTATACTAAACTTCCCCATTACAATTTGTCAGACCCATCATTTTGTGATTCGATGGGGTATGCACCAACCTCTAAATTTTCCCAATCAGCGTAACTGACAACTCCGGTTTGGTCATATACTGTAACAAAAAGTGTTTATATCCTATCCCAGTCTGTATACACCAATTGTCCTCATCAGTTTTTTTTTTAAATTGTGTTGCAAAAAAAGTATATTTATAATGATGGAAATTTATAGTAAATTTATAGCAATTTTCAACCATTACTGTAACTTTGTTTACAAAAAATGCAGTTCACTGTGAAGAAAGGCAGAGGAATGAATGTGTTGTTAATTAGTAAAAGGCTTGAAAAATCTTCCAAAATAATATGGAGCTTTTAAAGTCAGGCTCCGGAGGAAAAAAATTTTTTGATATGTTGTAGAACTGATTTTTCTAAGACAGAAAAAAGTTGTTTGACGAAAAACTGGGGAACAGTGAACGAGATACAGATTTTTGAATATTTAAAAACTGGGTGAAAAAGGGGCGTAACCACCCATTTTTACACCTTTTCCCCCCAGTTTTTAAATACTCAAAAATCTGTATCTCATTCACCGTTGCTCAGTTTTTCATCAAACAACTTTTTTCTGTCTCAGAAAAATCAGTTCTACAACATATCAAAACATTTTTTTCCTCCAGAGCCGACTTTTATTTGCGTGATGATGCAACACTATAACGGATTCACTCATGCATGACTGTATTAGGTTTAATGCAGAGCATAGATTTGGCCAAATTGCATTAGAATCGTTGCGACGACATGACTTAACGTTCTCGCATGGGCAGATGACCTTTTCATGACGTCATTACATTCTACGTCCTACTAAGTCGTGCAGTCAAAAGCTCCCTAATTATTTGTCAATGGAACATGTGTTTACTGAAGATTTTTTATGGAAGAATAAACATTGCAAGGGAGCCATCTACCGTAGTTACTGTTTCAAGGCCAAGAATATTTGTTAAATATGTTGCATGGCTGCCATATGAAAATTTACATACTGCATTGTACGACAAATCTAACTTTGTTCCCTGTGAGTGCTACAGGTGCACGACGAACGAACAGGTCATTAAAAACTATTTTTGCAGGCGAACAAATCGCAGCGGTTATCGGACACAATAAGGTCCCTGCTTCAGACAAAGTATGTTGGGCTATATTGTACACTTTCTGAATGAGGGTGGAAAGGAAATCACTTAGACACTACCGTGGTCATTTTTCAATTCCTAATTCATGTACAAAACAAAACACACACGCACGGCGTGTCAAGAATTAATCGTTAGTCACTCGGTCTTAGACGGTTTGCTGTACCTGTACACTATCAGCGATCTCTACTACGATACAAAACGCACATAGTGAGCTTTGAATACAAAGACATTCAACATGGCGATCGTACTTCATGTCAGCAGCCGTGAGAAAACTCTGTCCAATGCGTAAGTTGTCGGCATATCGATAGGCGCATGATTTATTCAGTGGAAAATGGTCGTAAACAAACTTGTTCAAGTTTGTTTACGAACATTGTCCACTGAATAAATCATGTGTGTCTTATACCCGATTCACACGTGAAGTTAAATTTAACAAAAAGTAACAAATTGTAACCGAGCGATCTCCCGAGTTATTCCTACCGAGATAAAAAGCATTCACACGCGTCTGTAAGGTAATGCCAAGGTTGTGTAAAATTTATTCAGTGTTTATTCAATGAACCATTTTTTCCCCTACTGCGATAAAGGTCTAGCCTAGGCCTAATTGAGAACCCCTGTCACAGATGGACTGTTGAACTCACCATCACAGTAAACATTCGAAGCAATCAGTACCCTTAACAACTGCTGTACTACTAAGACTACTAAACTAGGCATAGCTTCCAACGTTTCTGTCGACTCTTGTAATACTAGTAATAGTACAAACACCATCCCGACGTTCATTTTATGTATATCTTCTTTTTCTACCATTACTAATTAACATCAATAACAAGGGTAATTCATTCATCATTGAGAAAAACTAGGCCTATCTATTTCTAGTGGATCAGAATCGTATGCAGAAGGAAGAAAATTCAAAGAACCCCGTGAAACAGTAGATTGTTGTTGTGTTGAAATTCCTGCGCATGCGCAGATCCATCCATGTTACATCTCGGAAGCGAGGCTGGTAAAGATTACCGAGACGTTCCGAGATTTTACAAGGATATTACACGGAGGTACTTTCACACGTGCCGTAAAATGTTACTTTTAGTTACATTTTGTTACATTTGGTAAGATTTTTGTACGTGTGAATCGGGTATTAGCCCTAACTCTTACATTTAATAGAAGAGACAAAATAATCTTCGTAATTAACCCACCTACCAAATTTATTTTAACCAACGATATTCGAATAAATTTCACACGAGAGATTACTGTGTAGCGTATAGGCCTACAGTCACATTTAGGTTCGATTTATAATTTTAATTAAAAATGGATTTTATTTGTCAAATCTCACTAACGATAATCTGCCATTTCATTATTTTCCCCATAAAATAAAACACTGACACCTACATTTTCTTTTTAACTTTATTATTCATTACATAAATGTTAATGTAGGCGTAGAACAATCGTATTGCATACAAAAAAAAATAAAAAAATCAGCCAATCAGCGCTCTTCTTTTAATAGGTGAACCCCTGGTGTCCGGGTTATTCTGTACAGGTATTTATTTGACGCCACAAGCACATGGATCGAGTGCAAAAAACGTTGTTGGGTTACTCGCCCTGTTGCGGCGCACGCAGGGCTGTGTTTCTTCATAAGCTAGAAAATAAGTCAACTTGGCCTATTAATATAGTTTGTATACACAACAAGTATGTATAGTAACTTACGTTATTATGATCGTTATTTTGAATTTCTTTCGAGCCCAAGTTGGAGTTTTGGCTCCAATCTAACAAAATTTAAGTCCTAGCCTAGCCCAGCCTAGCATATCGGTAGTGTAAATACATAGGAATTTCACACAACCCGATTTTACGTACGGATGATTTTTACGAACGCCTCTGGGTCCGTCCCGTATGTAAATGAGGGGTTCTACTGTATCGCAATTGTTACCCATTACGATTGGGTGCTGCAATCTTTATTACTCCTGACTATCACGGAATCCGATCGCAACAAGATCAGTAATGAATTCCACAGGCACTGATTGGCTGAGGTCAGTCAACATATTGTAGTCAATGTAAAGTTTTTTTTGTGTCTAATTTGGTCTGAATGTGCTCATTAAATGCAAACAGAAATAATCAGTTTTTGATTACCACCGTTTACATCGCAACAGAGTCGTTGGAATAGGGTATTATACGTATTTTGCAAACTTGCCATTTCCAATAACAGATCATTTATAATGAAAGTAAAATTTTCTTTTTATCCTGTTATAGTACACCTACAGTGTAGTACTGTACCTGTACCGTTGTGTAAACATGGACATTCAGGGTGGGAATTTGAAAAAAAAAAAATGTATTTATTTACGTTACGCCCACTGCCACCCCGAAATTGCCCAATGAAAATTCTTGTTTTTTCCCCTCACAAGCTAAATCTGAGTAATTTATCAATCTGAGTACTGAACCATACAGTATATTGTTCTAATTGCTAGTTCTGTACGACATCGTGATAGGGTCTTTGGGTTGGGGAGCGTAAGGTACCCTTTACTGCTTATTTCCCCCTCGCATTCAACACTTCTAAAGTTTTCAACTCCACCTACAGTAGATTGGGTTATCAAACTTATAGGCCGACTTCCCAAACAAATGTCCAGGTAATTCGCCACGACACACTTCCCAAAAGATACGGTTCTCAAGTAGGGTTATTAAAGTCATGGTACAGTAAAAAGAATGGAAGTAAAAATGTTGAAATGATACATAAATGCAGGCTTTTTGATAAAATCCTAAAGAGTCTAGTGACCCATATTACTTTAAGAACAGCAGGCCCAGATGCTTTTAGCAGAACCTAATTTATTTTCATTTTTACTCTTAAAAATAAATTTCCTAATTTATCAACAAAATTCCCATCTAACCACCAGTTTTAACCAAAATTATAATATGCTGCTCTCTGTAATTTTTGATAACTTTCTTATTCATAATATTTTTTTAAATATTGTGTTTTTTTTGTTTTTTTTTTGTAGATGATTACGTATTGAGTTTAACAAAGTACAAGGTTGTGGATACATAACATAGTGTATTGTCACAAAGAATTGTCAACAACTCAACGTGTTCGTGGAATCATGTCAGGTATGGTTTATTACAATGATCATTTATAATTGTTTATATTATTGCACTTTTTCAATGCAATACAACATCGGGTGCCTGGTTCTATTTCATCACTGCTCTGCTTGTGTCTCAGGTAGTCCAAGCGCATCATCTTTTTAGAAGAGTGTGTTTAAGCTTTTGGCTTTATGTACAATATAATATGTCCATGTGCTTGTTAAAAACTGGACCATGCTCTTTGAACTATGGCAGGGAATTACCTTCCAATATATTGCCAAATTCACTCACTACTAGCTAATAATGACCTCTCTGTAAAATTATTGGACTTTGAGTAATCGTTATCTTTCAAGTTCCTTGGTGTCTTTTCACATCAAAGAAAACCAACCAACAAATCATTTAAACAAAAAAGTCATTTGCAATTCCTTGGAACTGTTTTTTTTTTTTTTTTTTTTTTTTTTTTTTTTAATGATATTCTACATTTGTACTATTGCTACTATAATTAATTACAGTATTGTACTACCAAACAATAGAGAGATAAGTCCACCCCCACAATAATTCAGTCAAAATGAATTATGACCTGGGGACCAAAAATGCAAGCTGTTTAGTAGATAGTGCAAACCGTTTTCAAGTCTACTGTATACTTGGCAATAACTCCTTGATTAAATCTGATTTTTTTTCCCCTATGATTATTGAAATTTATGACTAAATTTTATGGCTAATGATTACAATGCATGAGCTGGTATTTATTTTATAATACAACACTGCATAGTAATAAGTACAGTAATAAATATTGCAGCCTTTTAGCAGAGCCTAATTTTGCGAGAACAAAACAGTTTGCTTTGTAAGTCAAGGTTAGTTAGCTCCAATATCAGAGCCATAGATACAGTAGATCTATCTACGGCTCAGGCTATGTTCACACACACGGCGTAAGACTGGCGTGGCTTACGCCAGGCGTAAGCTAATCCACGGATTAAAATTCCAAAGTGTTCACACAAACGGCGTTCGTTAAACTAGCAGTAATATAGGCCTATGTGGAATAGTTTTCAGTTTTAAATAATGTACGTGTTAACAGTAGTAAAAGTAACAGTGCATCATGAAAACTTTTAAATCTGTGAATTGTTCGAAGTGAACTTATATGATTATTTTATTTTAAATGAACAATTTTACTTTTATTTTTCAGCTAGCATTGTTGATGTTGCATGTTTTAATAGACAGTCTAAATGGTTAAAATATCTTACAAAACACAATCAATAAATCATATACATTATAACTAAGTAAAATGCAATAGAAAAGGAACCCCTTTACCATTTTATTTATAGAGAGCACAGAAAAAAGACCAAAGTAGCTAATATATTGCAATCGTGATTGGTCAATCTCTTGAAATGAGGTCAAATCATTCAAGCATCACTGGCGTTAGCTCAGTGGCGTTAGCTAATCTGGGGTCTGCAGGTAGCGTTAATAACGCCAAGGACGTGGCGTAGTGAGTGGCTTTAACAACGCCACTGCCTAGTTCACACACAAAGGCGTACGCTACGCCAGGCTTAAGGTTTTTTTTTTTTTTTTTTTGTAGATGATTACGTATTGAGTTTAACAAAGTACAAGGTTGTGGATACATAACATAGTGTATTGTCACAAAGAATTGTCAACAACTCAACGTGTTCGTGGAATCATGTCAGGTATGGTTTATTACAATTATCATTTATAATTGTTTATATTATTGCACTTATTCAATGCAATACAACATCGGGTGCCTGGTTCTATTTCATCACTGCTCTGCTTGTGTCTCAGCTAGTCCAAGTGCATCATCTTTTTAGAAGAGTGTGTTTAAGCTTTTGGCTTTATGTGCAATATAATATGTCCATGTGTTTGTTAAAAACTGGACCATGCTCTTTGAACTATGGCAGGGAATTACCTTCTAATATATTGCCAAATTCACTCACTACTAGCTAATAATGACCTCTCTGTAAAATTATTGGACTTTGAGTAATCGTTATCCTTCAAGTTCCTTGGTGTCTTTCACATCAAAGAAAACCAACCAACAAATCATTTAAACAAAAAAGTCATTTGCAATTCCTTGGAACTGTTTTTTTTTTTTTTTTTTTTTTAATGATATTCTACATTTGTACTATTGCTACTATAATTATTTACAGTATTGTACTACCTAACAATAGAGAGATAAGTCTACCCCCACAATAATTCAGTCAAAATGAATTATGACCTGGGGACCAAAAATGCAAGCTGTTTAGTAGATAGTGCAAACCGTTTTCAAGTCTACTGTATACTTGGCAATAACTCCTTGATTAAATCTGATTTTTTTCCCCTATGATTATTGAAATTTATGACTAAATTTTATGGCTAATGATTACAATGCATGAGCTGGTATTTATTTTATAATACAACACTGCATAGTAATAAATACAGTAATAAATATTGCAGCCTTTTAGCAGAGCCTAATTTTGCGAGAACAAAACAGTTTGCTTTGTAAGTCAAGGTTAGTTAGCTCCAATATCAGAGCCATAGATACAGTAGATCTATCTACGACCCAGTCCCATATGCCACAAGCCTGCCCTCTAGATATATTTTGTATAGTATGACGATGTGTTTTGACTTTACAGGCTTTATAAATCATCCTTAATGTTTGAGCGCATATAAGGTTCAGTTAAAATTATGTGTAATTTATTATCATATTTGATGCAAAATAGAATTTGTGTTCGAATTATCTGATGAAGTACTTTAGTATGCCTACGGTATTTTTTGAGTACAACAGCACTAGAGAAAATTGAATCTATTATTTTTTTTTCTATCCTGAATGAACATAGGAATGGAATAATTTTAAATTTTAAAGAATTGTCACATGGTATCTACAAAATATTCTGACCAATCAGTGACATATTATATTTTTGTAACTATGAAACGTAGGCCTACTGTGAGCGTTGCATGGATAATGACTGATGTTGTGTGTTTGATAAATGATTGTACTGTGGAATAGAACATTTTTGTCATCGTCACATGCTGTTGTGTAGCTCTGTGTTGTTAATATGCCTTAATATTTTCCAACTGATACAAAGAACTTTGGAATGAATCACGATATACAGACAGTACTTTCATGTGGAAAACAGATGAACAAAAAAAACAAACCATGCGCGGTGCGTTACTGGATAGTAAAATCACACCGCCACCAAGGGGCGTAAAGGGCGTCGTTTGTTTACTGTACGGTTCCAACACCCAACGTACAGGGCTTGCGCTATAAAGCCTAGGCTTTACTCTTTGCTACACTATAAACACTACAGACAAATGGCAAATGATTTATTTATTGCATATTACTGTATATGCCGTTCGCAAATCATTATTTATTAGTTCAAAAATGTTATCCATGAGTAACATTGAAATCCGCGAGTTTTTGTTCATCCGTAGTAAAACTGGCAAATGGTAAATTATCCGTGAGTCTCACAGTCAATCCGTGTAAGTTGGCAACTATGTGTAAACAACCAAGGTGTTGCTGGCAGAATTGAAAGCCACATTGTTTTTTTCAGCCACAAAAAAAAATTTGTTTTATGTGGAAATATGTGGATATGATAACCAAAACTGGTACAGTATGTACATTGAATATATTTTTATTGTCAGAAAATGTGGGAATAGTTACTTTCTGAAAATATAGTGGATTTTTAGACGATGTTATTCATCATTTGTTGTTGGCGGTGCCTTCCCATTCAAGGGTATCATGCTACAAAAATAATGATCATATTTAATATATTTCATTTTGCAATAAGAAACATTTTTTAATAAAAATTTTGATATTTTCTCAAACATTAATTAATTACGATAATTGGCGAGCGCTTCTGTAAGTGAAAGGCTTAAATTAACATGATGTCATTACGTTCTATGTCGTTGCAAATCGAAAGCTCCCCTATTTTAGTAAAAATATATGGCCAAATAAGAATAAGTCATTTTTTTCTTCAGTCATGTTTTGAGACACACTTTGTAAAAAAAGCATGACAAACTGCACTAAATCTTTGTAAAATAGCAGGCTCCTCCTAAATGTGAAGTTCCTAAATGTGAAGTTCGTAAATGACAAGGTAAACTATACGGTTAATAAATCTCTAATATTTAAAGTAATGCAATAGTTTGTCTTAAAATTTGTTTTACAGTGTATAATAATGGCCATGTCTGATGGTACAGTATCGTATTTCTCGGTTTACTGGTTTACAGATTTCACATTATCAGCCACCAGCGCAATCGTCCTGTACAAGTTGTGTGAAATTTGTTGACCTCAAGGCCTTGCTACTGTAGCTCTACAGTAATACAGGATGGCACTAAAATATTGGTGTGGAATCCAATTTTTTACTCTATTTGTTAAGGTGCTAAGGTGCTAACCTTAAACTGCAATTACTGTAGTAACATAAATTCACTCACTCCTGTAGAGGCATTATTTTAACATGCCCGAAACCTCTATCCCATCATCATTTGTAATATGATTTGGGCAATTACTAGATTTTATTAGAGATAATGTTGCACATGTTTCCTATAGTAGCCGTAGGTGTTGGTTTACTAGTCGTACAGTACTTGTTGCCTAACCAACAGAAATGGAATAATTGTTAACTTGTACTATAAGTTCCTCTTTTTGAAACCACAAGATCTAGACATTTCCGCCCACGATAAACTAAAAATTTGTTGCCCACGCCAGAGATTACGAATCCCAACAACGTGCTACAGTATACAAATTTTTTTTTTTGCACTAATTGCCTTTGATGTTTACAAAAACGGCCAAAGTGGTAGTTGGAACACTATAATTTATATGTACAGTACTTAGTCCAATATGGATATGCCTGAAATACTCTATTAACATAATTCATGTAATCAATTATAATTGGAGATCAAATTGATAAATCTTTAATAACATTTAAGAAAGTACACATTAGGCGACACTTTTAACAATACCTTGTTTGCCGAACTTATTTTTGTAAAGATTGTCAGTGGATGGCGGAAAAAATAAAAATAAAATTTTTTCTTATTTAGCAAATAGTTTTGCCAAAAACATCCAGACAGAGACATTAAAAATTATATTTTATTGTTGAATGTAAACAGTATACTGCAGTAATGAGATGGTTATATGCTTTAAATTTATATAATTAGGAAGAAATATTGTACATTAAGTAACTTATTTGTGCAGATTTCAGGGCAGCGGTGGGCATAATAAAAAATAAAGAATTATCTATTTTTTTCTTTTGTTTCCAGTTTTTTGTGGCGGCAGGTACGATAATTGGCCAAAAATAAAATTTTATTTTTATTCAAAATCATCAATATTGGCAGGCGGCGGATTCACGACGCAAGGTATAAAAAAAGTCATGCGTTATTTGGGAAGGCTATCTCCCAATTATGAACCTCACAATAACGAACTCAATTTGTTGCGATGTCATTACGAACAAATTTTTTTACTAAAAAAATTTTTTTGGCATTACCCGTGTAAACCACACCTATTTTTAAGCTTCAAACTGTTTCCAAAATGTTAAGTTTTTAATTATTTTGAAACATTGACATTATTTACAAACATTAAAATAAAAAAATTTTAACTTTATTCGGCCGATTGTTAAACAACAAACAACTGGAAATACTTGTATACTCAAGGAAAACTCTCATCAAAACAACGTATTACCTAGGAAAATCCCCATTTTTTTCGTTTAGACATCCGTATATTTTCTGCGTTAAATTTCCGACCGTGTGGGTTTCAACAATCATTTTAGTTAAGTTTATTCAAATTTAAATATTAATTTAATATACAGAATATAGTGAGCATATTTATTCATCTATTATTCAATCAATAATAAAAGCCGATATTGACTTCAAAATATTCTAGGCCTAACTAGCCATTTACTAATCTAGCGAATCACGCAACAACGTTGATCACGCAAACAGAACTTAGAAATACCATGTGATATGAAGTTGGGCAGATAATGTACAGTATGCCATTCTACAGTTAGGCCTAAATTACAGTAAAAGCAAGTATTAACAGTTCAATTTTTAAGAAAACTCGTGTTTTTATAGCACACATTATTTTCAAGTTTTTATGCTGAAATTATAACAGTGAACACTGCAAAGGAGTATCATTCTTTCTATAACGTTACTAGCCTCCACGTGCGTTTTGTGACGATGTTCGTGAAGCTACTCGCGTGACTTCAAGGACGGGAAAAAAATGTTTGTTATTGTTTTGAGCGAACCGGATTCAAACACGTACAATGTGTTTCAAACATTGTTTATGAATGTAATGTGAAAATATTTATTTAAACAACCCAAACCATTGCTTGAATGTTGTAGGAATCCTTGTCGCACTGTAGTGAGTATAATTACAATACTAGGCCAGCAAACCTAGGCTAATTAATTGGGGTAGCTGGGATTAACTTAGACGAATTTTCGCCTCTGCAGTTCGCGATCTAGAATTTTTTTAGGAGCAGGTTGATGACCAGCATATAGGCTGCACCCTGAATTTCGTGGTGGAAATCGCGTATAAAATTTGCCGCTTTATACACCTGAATATATTGTAGCTTTAGTTTAAAAATTCTAGATCTTGATTATGGACAATGTTTCAAAATTTAATTTTTTGTTATTTGTTTTAGTTGCCTGGTAAATAAAGGAGCGTGGTTAGTTGCTCTCCTGAAAGCGTGTTCAGGAGCGCAGAGGAGCATGATCGCGCTCCTTAGAAATGATGGGCTGGTATTTTTATTCAAAATCACCATAATCAGGTGGTTAGCAAAACATGGTACTGTAATAGTGTCTTATATTCAATAAATGTCAAGACTACAGTAAACACTAAAATCAGTCAAGCATGACATGTGTCATAACAATTTTCCAATGACAGATTTCTGCAGCTATCCTGGGAAACTGTATATAAAGTGCTGGCATTTACTTTCGTTATGTAAGCATTTGTGATTGGATACTCAGAAATATATGTCTGTATCAAACAGTACAGTTGAATTCAAAGGTGCTATCCGTACTACAGTACAGTATGCTAATATACAGTAATAAACATTTAAGCAAAAAATTAATATTTCATTGCTTGCTTTGTACAAATTACTGATAAAAAATTAGCTTTCAATATATATTTTAATGGTTTATTTTTTACCCTGGGCAGTTAAAATAATATTGCAGCATAAATATTACTTTCTATGTTGTTTGTGTAGTCATAAACTTCAAAATTGACTGGTACCTATGCAATCAATTTTAAGGGTTTTTGTTACATAATCTCTGTAAATTGGCTTCAATCTATATTTAATTGAAGGATGATAATTGATGTTTTAAGTGTTTAATTGAAAGTTTTTTCAAAAAACTGTAAATCAACAATAATTGTTTATTTGTTATCTCAATTTGGAGAACTTTGATCTTTATAAATGAGGTAAATCAATTTTAATTAAAGGTTTTCAATATTTATATTGATAATTGACATACATTACTGTACATGGGATTGGGATTAGATTTGTGTGTGTGTGTGTGTCCAGAGTGAAATACAATCACTTCAATAATACTTTAATATTTATGATGTCTTTGAAATGGTTAAGATGCAGACTTGAGTTGTCTCTGTTGGCTCATCCAAAAGGCAAATTACCCCGTTTTGTAAGATTTTCCAGCAGGGTGTACTTGACCAATATAGGCACCTGTTACCATGCATGTTTGTTAATGTAAAGTGAATTGTAACTTATACAGTAAGGAAGTGAATAGTGTGTTAAAATTGGTCATCTTTTGGCCTTGCATGTCCAGATTTTGATTCAGATTTTATGAGAGAACATTTTGTCGTTTCAGGTCGAAAAAAGAAACCAATAATTAAGCCTAAACCGGAAGTGGACCAGGTATGTATTTCTTATGCTATACATTGTGTTCTAATATTTAGTTTTTTAGTTTTCTTTTAAATTTTTTTGTTTAAAAGATATGTTAAAATACATAATTATATATTTTTCACTTTGCAGGTACCATCAGATGAAGAGAAAATGTCTACCAGAAGAAGAGGGAGACCAAGAAAAAAGTGAGTTACAATGTCCATTTTAAGCATGCACAACAATAACAATAATTATACATGAAGTACTGTAATTCTCATTGTCATGATTAATATTTTAATATATTATCGTCTTTAACTATGTTGGCAGTATGAATTCTTCGTTATCTTGAGCAGTATATTTTTATCGTAGTCATTCTCATTGTCCTTAATTGTTACCATTTTCAGCATCATTACCACGACCACCATCCTCATTATCGTCATGTCATCATCACTGTTATTGTCACTATGATTTAAAGAACACATTGCATTTTTTTGGGGCTACCCTGATGCCACGGTTCATTTCAGCCCACTTCCTGGAATGATGTGAAGCTACTGTAAGCGCCTTTTTATAGCTGCTAGGAAGTCACGGACCACAACCATACACAATTCAACATAATTTCGCTGCAAGTTATGGGTTATTCTCCTAACTCTTCCTTTACCCTATACCATCATTGTCATGATCACCATTGTTATTTATCGTCCATTGTTTTTTTTTTTTCACCATTATCTTATAGTTATCATCAACCATAAACACTAAGTAGGAAATACATGATAATAACCAAGTAATAACATAACATAATATAAAAAAATGTAAAATAATGACATGTTATTGTTGTTATTGTTATTAGGGTTGATTCCTACTCCTGTAGATTGATCACCAGTGGTGAGGACGACATTGGAGAAGCGTTAACCCCTGCTTCAAGTACGGGGTCAATTTCTACAGACTTGCCAGCTTCAGCCCCCAGCAGCCACGATGGCACACTGCAAGAGGAGGGGATGTTGCTAGATCCCATGGATATTAAAATTGAAGATGAGGGACTGCTTGATAATAGCGTTGTCCCGAAAATAAACCCAGGCTTTGAGAGGAGCCTAACCGATGAAACTGCACCAGCTATATCACTGCCTTCTGAAGAACTGGAATCGTAAGTTGAATCAATTAGTCGCAGCGCGAGTAGAAACATCAAGTCACTAAATGCTTTTTCGCTTGTAATCTTGTTAATTAAACATGACTTATCACTTGTAAACTTCTTGTATATTCTTTGTAATCTTTGTTATCAATGTTGATAGTTATATTGTCATTATATTTGACCACATGACCTACTACAAAGTCATGCAGTATTCGCAACATCTTTTTAGGGTGTCATCCATATTTTTCGTAATTTCTAAGAGACCACACCAAGTTATGTAAGATTAGCACGTTGCAAAACTACAAAAAATTCAGGAATATGAAATAAAAAATTTAAATCCTTGATACCTTTTTGCAGATCTGAACCAGTTTGTTCTTTATGTTGCTGTGGTGAAAAGAGTTTGCTAGGTCAAGGCGATCTCCTTCGATTTGACCCAACGCCAGGCTTTAACCCATTCAAGAAGCTGGTGCCTCGACGGAAGACTAGTGAAGATGACACAATGTATACACCATCCGAGAAAAGCCCCAAGAATGTCACATCAAGGCGTGTAAAGGGTCTTTCTAAAACAAGGTACATAGTACTACATTTCTACCTAAAGTTCTGTTCTCGTTGTTAGGTTTTCAATTCAATCTTTATTGATCCAATATATAAAAAAAAATACATCAGAAAATCTTTGTTTATACATTGCAATATATAAAAGATAGGAAATTCAATATATATATATAAAAGATTAAGAAACAAAATTCAATTTAAAATTCAAATAGAAAGGTTAAATTAATAAAAGGTAAAAACAATGAAATATATACAATTCAAATAAAAAGCTAAATTAGGTAATTAATGTACAATTTCTGTCACATTACTGTACAATTTCTGTCACATTACTGTACAATTTCTGTTACATTACTGTACAATTTTTGCCGCATACCTTTCATTGTCCTCATAGATATATGATGCACATGATGCCCATATATGGACATATCATTTTTTTTTTGCAACAAACTTAATTGTTTGAATGTAACTTTACAGAAATAACTAGTTTTTGTCAAAAATGTATTTGCATTGCTAGAGTCATGTAGTTAAATTTAAGTAATGTACAGTAACTGCTATTGATAAATTTTATAACTGCTATAAATGAATGAGTATTTACAGTTAGTTTTAAATTTTATGTCAGTAAATATTTGAAATCAGATCTCTGTAAAAGCTTAATCTAAATTTCTTATTGAACAAAAAGTAAAATTTTCTTACTTGGTCAATTATTCACGAAAAAAAACAAACCAAAAAACCCAACTATTTTTCAAAACTACATTGTTTGCTTCTTTTGCATAATAATTCAATTTGTTGCTTTCCACAGGGAGAGTAGCAGGTCCCCCAGGGGGAGTAACCCAGCAGTGGTTGATAGGGCGATGCCTGGGGTTGACTTTGATGAACTAAGTATGGTGGGATATGCAGAGGAGCCAGAGGTGAATCACGTGTTTGAACCATCAGGTAAATGGAGCTACTAATTATTATTTATTTGGGGCTTGCCATCCAAAAACCAGCATACTGTCGTTAAATGTCAAACTGAGTAATTAACATAAGAAAGTGACAGTACAGTATTGTATACTTTACAGTACAGAGAAGCCATAATACGTTTACTCGTAACTTCAGCAATAGTAAGTCGATGCCAGTAAATATAATCTATCATTTTAAAGCTTATAATGTAGAGAATATCAATATATAAAATGTCAATTTTATTGTTTTGGTAATTGATACTGGTTTTGGCAAGACTAGCCCCAATTTTATTTGTTATGGTGGAGGGAGATTGGGACTCACAATCAGGCAAAAGAAGTTATCAGTTGTCTGTTACTGGTTATGATGTGAAAGAATTGGATTTTCGCCATTAGATAATAAAATATAATGGTGTGAGTCGCATCCCTTTGATTAAGAATTTCTTTCACCATAATTCCTTTTCATTTGGTCAACTGATTTTTAAGGACCAAATGAAACATAACATGGTATCAAATGGAAAAATAATATCAATTATATTTATCAATGTCATCTGCCATGCTTTTAAATAACACAACTGTTTCTCAACAATATGTTCAGGGTGAAATATAAATTAAATTAAATCGAAAACAAATTTCTTTTTGAAGGTCACTGTACTGCGCATCATTGCTGTGCAGCCTGGTCAGAAAACGTTTGCCAAAACGAGAACTTTCAACTGCTGAATGTCGACAAAGCGGTGTTCACTGGTCTGTCGCAACGTTGTTCGTACTGTCGCCGGTTCGGCGCCACCATTAAATGTCGAGTGTTGAAATGCACAAAGTTTTACCACTATCCGTGTGCTGCAAGTTGTGGAGCATTTCAGGTGAGAAAACGGACAATTTGTATTGATTATTAATTGTTTATTTTACACCAATTAAAGTATTTAAGTTTTGTGGCTGATTTTCAAAATATATGTTATGAAAATCCTATGTGGAGACCAAACCCCAAGACCTCCCCCAGGGCTTGAAAGAAGTTTTTTTGTGCCTCCAACCAGCAAAAATGTTTAAGCCTTCCTCTGGTGAAATGCATAATGCACCCAAGCACTTTATAGCCCAACAGTAGTTATCAGGTGTGAGAAAAATAAACAAAAAACACATTTTCCAGCCCTGACCACCCCACTAAGTCCCAAAGGTGATCTCAAATTGGAGGGTGAACTATATCTAAAAATAGAAAATGTATTTCAATTGCTGGCATTCTTCCACTTAACAAAATATTATTTTAACTCTTATTCAAACATCTGTATGTTTTATGGCCCTTTCTATTGTGTTCTTTCTAGTTGTTAGGTTGCCGAATTGTGTTGTTTATATGCACTTCGCGATCTATCTGGCATTCACGATGTCAAAAAGTTGCTGACCCCAACACTTGTGTTCATCATCGTAAACATGTGCACCAAATCCAATGACACTTGCATTGGTAGTTTGTTCTGGTTTATTACAGTAATATAGTGATTATTTTACCAGAAATAGAAGAAAAGATTGAACTATTAATAATAAATACAACAAACTTGATTTTATTAAGAAAAATATACATTATCACTTTGTAAAACGTGAGCAACTGGACTTTTTTAACTGTAATAATTGGTCGATGATAACGTCATCAGGGGCAAAGACCATTCATAAAATCAACTACTCGTAAAATTGAAATTCGTAAAATGGACGTTTTACTGTACGTAATTTACCTTATGCATGAAAATCTTTTTGTTAATTGTTTTATATTTATGTATAAATTACTCATCTTTTAGATTTCCCTAAGGAAATATTTCATCAAGTTTGGACACATAATACTGAAATCTGCAATTGAATATTTTATTTCAAAGCTATATGCATGAAAAACTAAATTAATAATTTGTATATTTTTTTTGGTAATTCTTAAATTATTTATAAATCTATTTCATTTCTATTGTTAATTGTTTGTATTAACGGTCCCTTTTGATCAGCTCTGGCCAGATGGACCACGTTCACAAAATATTGTTAAAGTATATAAATTAATAAATACATAACATATAAGATAATTTGAAAGTAGTTAAAATTATATTCATGATATAAAATATAATATAATTTTTTTTTTTGTTTCTGTTTCTCTGTCTACAGGATATTAAAACAATGTCATTACTATGTCTAAACCATCTAGACCAAGCAGAAGATTTGGGTAAGTTGACTGCAGTCTTGTTTGTTTAAGACGCTTGTATTTTAGAGATAAAAATCACATATGTTAAAAGAAGATTGTATAATTGTTATTTAATATATATATTTACTATGGTTATTTTAAATTTATATGTTAAAAATGATTGTAGGTTTATAAATGAATATAAAAATGTTAATGTTTTTGTTGATTTTTTTATTTTTTTATTAAGGTAAATGTTTTATAACATTTTTATTTAACTTTTATTTAGTTGATGAGGAAGAGCTCACATGTGTCTTCTGTAGAGCTGCCGGCAACATCATAGAAATGCTCTTCTGCACGAGTTGTGGCCAACATTACCATGGCAACTGCCTTGACCCACCAGTTCCTATCAACGCTGTGGTGCGTGCGGGTTGGCAGTGTCCAGACTGCAAGATATGTCAGACATGCAGGTACGGTCATAAAAAGCAGTCTCATGCTACATTGTAGTGGTCGCAGATGGACTGCCCTTTTTTAAATAATGAATTATGAATTAATAAGCATTTGGTACTATAGACCCTATACCCATTGGCAAAAGTTTTCCCTACTATTACTTACTGTATATATTTATGTTGGATATTAATGTTTATGTATGTTGTAAAAAAACTATTATTGCAAAAAAATATTGAGTAGTGATATTATATATTATCCTAATGTACTATTCAGCTGATGTGAATTTTTACAAGGAGTAGTTTGAAAATTGGGGAAAATTTGTAAGCTAGGAAGCAATCCAACATCAATTATTTGAAAATCTGTAGTACCTTTTCCTGTCAATATTTAGTCCTTTGTATCTATTTTATTGTATAACATACAATAAGAGGAAGGATGGTTAAAGAACTTTGTGACCCAATTAATATAATTAACAATAAAAAGTATTATCTTGTCAAACTCTGATACATGTTTTTTGTGATTACTGTAGGCAACCGGGAGATGACAATAAAATTCTTCTCTGCGATTCCTGCGACAAAGGCTATCATACGTTTTGCCTTAAGCCAGCAATGACAACAATTCCGAAGCATGGTTGGAAGTGCAAAGTAAGAATATGCACACGGTGGAATAATCTACCAAATGATAATAATCCCCCCCCCACTTATGGTACAGTCTACCCCAGGGGTTCTCAACTATATTGTAGGTGCCATGTTTTTAGATTAAATCAATTTGAAGATCCAGTGATTATGGTTTAGGGGTGGGTGTGCCCAGTTTCATTTGAAAAGAAAATGTTTGTAATGACTACAGTAGCGTGAAATGGTGCAATGTTACAGTGGCCTTTACCTGTATTTATAATGAGTATTTCTGGGCTATATTTCTCTATTAACTCATTAGTAGCTTTCCATAACATTTGTTGATCTTGTACACATATTTTTTTTATTTCATATAGTCACACAATGGGGTTTTTTTTAGATTGTTCTACAGGCCGAATTATATGCATTCAAGTTCCGGAAGTGGCCTGCGGGCCGCCATCTACTTATTATGTTAATAGCTTGAGTGACATGCAGGTTTATAAATTCCACGTGATTTTTTATAACAGGATGAATAAATTACGTTGCTGGCCACAGTATCTGATCATCTGATGAATTTGTTCTGGTTTCTTGGAAAACAATGTGCTCATAACATTTCTTTACCGGAGTTTAATTCATGTGTTGAATTATTATTAAATATAATAACCTAATAAAAATGATTACCGTATTTATCCGTATAAACGTTCCGTTTGAATAAATGTCCCCCTTGAATAGATGCCCTCTCTAGAGTCTCAATTAAAATAAATGCCTCCCTCGAATATACCCCAGTGGTGTTAATTTTTTCCTTGAATAAACACCAACCACCCTCCCCAAATGACTGTAAACAAATCCAATGGAAGTAACATCATTCTCAACACATTCTAAAAATGTTCTACTCCAGTGAAATACATTTTTTCTAACCTGGTTAAGATCAATAAGTCTTTATGTATGTAATAACACATTTTGATGGTAATTTTTTGTTGCAGTTCCACATTTGCAGTGAAATTAAGGAGCCAAGTATATACGTATCCATTTTACACAAAAAGAAACCGCATCCCTCAAAATGAATGCCTCCTCAATAACCCTTTATCGACAGTAAATACCCCAGAGCGTTTATTCGAATAAATACGGTATTTATATTATTAGAATTGAACAGTAATGAATGTCATCCAGTAAACGTTCAAGCAGTATGATATACCAATTGATTATTTTGAGGGTCAATACATTTATATGATTATTCGAGTTGTATGGTACACTCGCCTTAGGACCTGCCAAGGAGAGAGTTCCAGAACACTATATAGATAAGTAGATAAATACTTGAAAACAAGTGATTATTTGAAGGACGTGTTAAACTCAAGTGATTACTGAAGGAGTATGGTATGACCAAATGATTATTTAATGAGTAACTATAATGTTTTTTTTAATTTTAAAGAATTGTCGGGTCTGTGGTGATTGTGGCTCAAGAACGCCAGGAAGTGGGCCTAGCTCACGATGGCACAGGAATTACTCAGTGTGTGATAGTTGTTACCAGCAGCGGAATAAAGGCCTGTACTGTCCAATATGTGGTAAAGCTTATAGGCAACATGCAACACACAAACTTATGGTACAATGCGACCGGTGTACAAGGTGGGCGTCAGTAACTTTTTTTTTTTTTTTTTAATTCTATGTATAGATATACTGTTATTTGCTCTCAGTACAAGCCCAATGTCTTGATTATATTCTCTAATAAAGAAAAAAATAAGTGGGGCTATTCAACTTGTGGGTTAAAATTCTGTAAAACTTCCTGATTATAACTGAAAACAACTCCACTACCTCTACTATATGAAGGCAAGACTTTCTTTCTTTCTTTATTTTGTGAATCTACTGCTTTCAATAAAAAATACAATTACCACTACGAAGAATAACAATTTTCAGGTAAAACTAAATTGTTATGGGCCAAAGCATGCCCTCTGTTACATTTTTTCAACCTCACCCATGATCTTTTATTGATCAATAATATTTTATTTTTATTTTTCCCTTTCTTAAACATTAATAAATAAAGGTATACTGTACAAAATATAAAAAGTCTTGTTAATAAATTTTATGTATTTTTTTAATCAAGCATAAAAATTCAACTAAACACCTTCTGCATTCTCTCTCTCTTCAGGTTTGTTCATGCGGAGTGTGACTCTAACGATGTAATCGCCGCATATCAAAAAGCCAAAAGCTCAGGGCAGCCAGGCAACTACATCTGCCCAGATTGTCGCAGCAAGCCATCACCATTCTTGTCATCATCTCAAGTAAGTGACTAGATAATGATGATTGTGAAAGTGATGACAAAGATAATGATGGCAGTTTTAGTGGTGTTGAACGGTTGTGGTAGCAGTGACAGTGGTGATAAAAATAAGGGCGGAAGATGAAGATCATGATTTTTGTTTTTGTAACATGTTTCATGTGTGAACACAACGAGATGCGTCTATCTTGACTAAATAATTGCTACACTATGAGCCAAATTCTAAAGCTGGGCGCACATTGCATCATATGACCACCTGCTGATGAATCCATCTCTGCGCCAGCATTTGACAGCGCAAAAACATCAGATTGTCAGTAGCAGTCTTAACAAATTGGCATTAAAAGGATTTGTTGCACGCGTATCGTTCTTTCAGGGATCACATCGGCCGTGAGGTGCAGTGTGTGCCTTACATAAATTTTATGCACCGAGAGTTTGTGAGAAATATTTGATTACTAAAAAGTAACATGATTTTGACCGATTCGATTTCTAGAATTCTCTTATGTCTGAGGAGGTAAATTCAGGGACAGATACCGAGCCAGAAACATATACACTGTCAACACATAAAGATAAGGAAGGCAAGTTCATAATAACTGATTTTATTATTTAATACTATTGATGTTTAGGACAGCGTTGTAGAGCATCTTGTACAATTTAACTGACTGTGCCATTTCAACCTATTAAAATTGAAAAAAAAAAAATTATAAAAAAAGAACTACAAACATATCTGTCTGCATGCCAGTGCCATTCATTTGATATCCTTGTTTTACAGCTGTTCCAGTTAGAACGAGTTCCAGACACATCTGTCCCAGGATATCAATTGACAGCGTTCAGTTTGATGACAACATGGACATATCGCAGGATCCGCTTTTACGCTCACCGACAGAAGAAAGCCAGACGAGTATGGATCTTGGCTTCATGCCAGACTACTCTTGCCTCTCGATACAGGTGCGTTGATTGGTTGAATTTTTATATAGTTACTAGTGATTGGTCGAGTTGGGAATCCATTTGTTGGTGATCATATGTGAGAGATCATTTTTATTACTTTAATTTGAATCATGGTTTGTACATTATGTAATTTCTTGCCACAATTGGCATCACCAGGGAGACATAAATTTGATATAAAGGTTTTTGTATTCACATACCTAAAGGTAGTAGCACACAGGTGTATGTTATAAGTTTGATGTGCCAATATTTATCATCTAAAGTAACTGTAAGCACCCTGTACTTTTCTGCCTAGCAATTTGTTATTATGCTGTGCCAAGTTTGATAACTAACTGATAATTTTCCCAACATTATTTCCAGTCTTCAAGATATCGTTTACATCTGTAAATCATTAAATAGATGTTTATTTCCTACCAACTGATATATGAGAGATGTTGCACGTACAGTTGTAGTTAATAAGGATCTCTGAATTCTTTTCTGTCTAGAAAGCTATTACTCACGAGTGACGAACCACTTAACGTTTGACTAACAACAAGGAAGTGATTAATTTTAGTGAAGGCTTTAATATTTTTATACCAGCATAAATTTGTGCTTGTGCTAACTTATGATTTTCCTATAAAGTTCACCCTAAAAGCATTCCTGTTAAAAAAAATTATATACTTAATATGGACAATGATACACTGAATTTAAATGTTCATTTCTGAATGTAGGAAGAGGCATTTGGACCCTGTTCAACACCATCACTACAGGCACAGCATACAGCCGTGTTAAGTGCTGCTCATTCATTTTTTCCATCAGTAGGCAAAGCGAGTAAGAAAAAGATTGGAGCTGGCAGGCCAAGGGTAAGGCTATAAAGTACTAATTTGTTTTTCTCAGTATTTTGTAATCAAATTAGCACACCATAAAGTAAATTTATCTCTGGTGTGAGATGATCTTCACAACTATTACTTTGTAATTTGATGATTTAAAACAATTTTTTTTTAGGGTAAAGGCAATTTGGGACTGGTAGGAAGAAAAAGATCTAAGCCTGGAGCAACTGGGGCCAAACGTGGACCGAAACCAAAATCAAAATTAGGAATGTTTCCATCTGGTTTACCAATGGTAAGTCGTGCATCAAACACAAATAGTCAAAATGACGCAATGTCATGTCACAATGACAGATGACAGCAGCGTAATGAAGAGGGAGATTGTGGCAGGCACAAACTCAGAAACGTTCTGCTTGTCCTCCCTACCCCCCACTCCCCAATTCAAAAAGGTAGCATTCCTCCTAAGAAAATCCACCGACTAAAAAGCTACACACATAATTTATAATAGTATAACTGGGCTAAAATATTAGTTTGTTTCCTGAGCTGGCACTCTCGTGACAGAGTTATAACAAGACATGTTTTCGATGTTTAATTGATTTTATTTTCAATTGAAATTTCAGGTGGGGGCATCATCAACTCAAGAAGTATTAGGTCGCAGAAAAGATGAAGACGAAGAAGATTCTAACATGCATACAACAGTTGTACTCTTCTCTTCGGATGACAAATTCACATATTCACAGGTAGGTTGACATTCAATGTTTGAAGGTGTATTGCTCTATTGCAAAATACGTAAAAAAAAAGAAATTCACTTTCTCATTTTGAAGTAACATAACTGTTATCAACTTGAACATAGAAATTACCAGATTTAAAAAATGCTTACCCACAATTTTACAGCAGAAAATGGTAAACACTAATATTTTTATTGTCCAGTACAAACAATCAGGGTACACATTTTTAAAACTCATAATTTCTAAGCTTAAGTTAATAATTTGTATGTTACTGCAAAAATGAACAAGTTAATTTCAAAATTATTTTTTATGATTTTTTGTCATTTTCAAGGGACAATACATCTTTAAAGTCCATGTGGGGTACCTAAGTTTAAATGCCAATGGCCGTATTCGACTGGCCATTCTTCGTTAAACCACACCTGCCTGCGCAGTAGTAAAATCCTATTAACAAAGACAACCAGATGAATAGAAAACTGGTAAATACTCAACAAAATCAAAATGGCTGCGTAGTTACCGCAATGCACGCCAGCGTAATCAATATTATGATTATTATTTTCTGAAATTTAATCAAAATTATATTAACGCAAATTCTGTTGCTAAACGACCAATAAGTCATGTTTGTTTTGGATCATGTGGATAAGTAATTGCAAATTAATGCACTCTCGTTTCCTTTGTCAACAAAGTCTATTTTGCTGACCAGCCAAATGAACATAATCCTCAATGAAAAATCGTCAACAAAACGAACCAGTCGAATGTGTTGATTTCTAGCTGGCTCCCCAAGGGACTGAGTATTGTGTGCTATCAGCATTTGTTCCTTGACCGGGGAATGATATGAACTGTTATATGTGGCAGAGACAAGCAAAGCCAGTCACTCGTCGCAAATCCTGTTTCGGAGATAATGGCCAAAACATGCTGGAATGTTTAAATTTTGGAATTCTTCCACTAAACTAACCTTTAAAACAGTTTTTAACGATTTGGTGATGGTGTCTGCATAAGAAATTCCCGAAATCATAAAACTTAGAAGGCTGATTTCTCAAATATTGTTCTTTAAACAGCTGTATTTTAAACTTCTGTAACCTCATTACGAAATGTCGGATTTAAATGATTCTTTTACCATTTTATAGCTCTCATTTTACTATTTAAAACTATTAATAACTAAAAATGGACTTTAGCGACAAGTGACTGGTTTGGCTTGTCTTTGCCACATATTTTAAGTTGAACATATAGGTGACAAATTAATATTAGAGTTGAATAGATGATTTTTTTTGGAAAAAGAATAGATTAATGATTAATTGTTAATTGAATTTAAATTGTGATAATGAATTTGTTTTTGCAGGATATGTGTGTTAGCTGTGGTAGTTTTGGCAAGGGTGCTGAAGGGCGTTTACTAACCTGCTCACAATGTGGCCAGTGTTATCATCCTTACTGTGTTAACATCAGAGTAAGTATTTAATTGTGAGCCTGTGTACTAAATTGAACATTACTTGTTGAGGGGAAAGGTCATCTCTAAAGACAATCTTATATGCAAATAAATTTGTTTAAGTTACAAAAACAACTTAAAGTCTTCCCTAACACGTTAGAATTAAACTCAGGCACTATCTTCATTTACCGGAATCCACACATAATTATTCAGTTAGGGTTTTGCCTCTTGGTGTAATAAATCTATCGTGGTTTATATAAGGCCTCATAAGACTGAAAATTACACCATTTGCAGGCAAAACTACAACTAAATCATATATATCATGGCATTGCTCCAGATTATATGACTAATGAGTTCAGAAAGTTGCCGATAGACACTCACATTTTATGAGGGGAAGCATCTGTGATTTTGAAATCAAGTAAAAAAAACCCACTTACATATCTACCACTTTTTGCTATAACAGTTAAATTTATGGAATAGTTTACACCATACATATCAAGGCCATTGGTGTCAAAAGTGTTTTTAAAACTAATGTTAAAAAATATTTGTACCAGCAACTGAAACTTGTTTTAAATGAAGATGCTTGGTTTTGTTCTTTTTGCTTTCAATTTTTGGTGTCTATGTATATATACATATATTTATTTTTATTTATTTATTTATTATTTAATTTTTTAATTTTTAATTTTATTTTCTTTTCTTTTTATATTAAAAAAAATTTTTTTTTTTTAAATTTATTTGTTTTCTGTACCCCTTTGGAAACAAACCTTCGGGTTTAAAGGGTTATCCAATGCTCCCTCTGACCTGTTTTCTTTTTTGATGCATATAATTGTGTATTTCTTTTCTTTTGTTCATGTTCTGTGGATTGTCTGATCTCTTTTAACCTTTTTGATGATTTCCTCTGTTACATTTGAATGGATTTGCTTTGTAAATTTTTTCTATCTAATGTTTTTGTTACCATGAAATAAAAACAAACAACAAACAAACTTGAGGAATTAGCTAAGTTCATTTGAGTTTATTCCTCCCAGACAGCTTGGAGCTTAATCCTTTTCTAACATAGGTTATTAATATTTTTCCTAATTGTTTTTGCAGATAACTAAAGTAGTGTTGTCAAAAGGCTGGCGATGTTTAGATTGTACGGTTTGTGAAGGCTGCGGAAAGGCCAGCGACGAAAGTCGGTTACTTCTCTGCGATGATTGCGACATAAGTTACCACACCTATTGTCTAGACCCACCTCTTATGACTGTTCCGAAGGGAGGATGGAAGTGCAAATGGTAGGTGTACCTGGCTATAGCTTGCTTTAATGAATGTGGCATATTATATATCACATTTTAACACAGTATATGTATTGTAAAACATATTTATCAAAAAATTAATCAATGTAATGTTGCAATTTTTTGTTTAAAGATGCCTTAGAGAACCTTTGATAGTGATTTAATTTTCGTTATCCACGGAGGGCATTTTATATTGTATTTTACCTTCTAAAATATAATAAATAAGTAGTAAATAAAAATAAATCCCTTTGATTTGATTTTTCAGGTGTGTGAAGTGTCTTCAGTGTGGTGCCACAACACCTGGGTATAATGCAGAATGGCAAAAAAACTACACGTTATGTGCTCCATGTGGGAGCTGTTTAAATTGTATGGTCTGCCTAAGGCAATATGCTGAGGGAGAGCTTATTATACAGTGCATACAGTGTGAAAGGTACAAGTCATCTTTATGTTACCATCATTATCATCAAAGTCAGTTATCACTATCTTTTACTATACTGCCCTCATCCTCATTAATTTTTAACATCATTATCATTTATGTCACTCATCCACTTCATCATCAGTTCCAGCATGTCATCTTCGTTTACATTGTCATTGAAATCGCACTCGTCAGCAACATTATTTTCATCATCTTCATTTTCATCACTATTATCGTAATGCTTGATGATATGTCATCACCATAATTGTCATCGTTATCAAAATTCACTATAATCATCGTCATTGTTGTTATCTTCAAAGTGTAGTGTTACATAACAAAATTTACGAGGTTTTCATGTTTCTTGTTCATTTTATGTTAAGACCGTCTCCCTATTAAGTAATGTGTAGGTGATAGTAGCTATAGAATACCCCTACATATACTGATGGTCTTTAACACACACAATCATAAGACTAACCAACAGCTTGAAAAGACTTCTTTGTATTTTAGCCCCAACTGAAGCATGAGAACAGCAATATTAGATCGAAACAGAGACGAACAGATCCTACATGCATTAGTATTAACCCAGTAGGGAATATTCGGCCTTCACTCATTAGTGAATAGTGCAGTTCTCAAACAACTGATATGACTGGATTGATGGAGGAAAGTAGTGTTTGATTATGATCTAATCTAGATCAAAATCAACTGTGACTAATAGATTACTCTTTTTTTCTCTTTTTTTTTTTACTTACAGAGCCATTTTGCTAAACCTGTATCATACCTTAACATTGAAAACCCTTTTTTTTTTATTTAGATGGAGCCATGCACTGTGTGATGGATTACATACTGAAGAAGAATTAGAGAGAGTAGCTGACAAAGGATACCATTGCACTTGGTGTCGTCCAATGAAACCACTTTCCCCACCGCCGCCTCAAGAAGTAAAATCTCCTCCACCATTGCCAAAAGTTATCATTAAAATTCCGAAAGAAGGTAACTTATATCTCCATATCAGTACAAATATCTTTTTTAAGATGAAGACTCGTTGTTTATAAACTCCTTGATTTAATAATGAGACGTGTTCCTTCAAAACTTGGCAAAATATTAGAAATTTTTTTTTCTTATTCTGATTAAATGTAAAACAGCATGCAAGTTATATATTATGTAAGTCGACTATTATTATTATTATTATTATTATTATTATTATTATTATTATTATTATTATTATTTATTTATTATTCTTTCTTTAGGCACACAACACATGTGCCAAGGATTGCCAATAGCGAATATATATCACTGTCCTACTTGTAGGTGACAATCCCTTACACAAGACAAACATACACACACGATGCTTTACACAAACTAAATCTCCATATGAGATTTAGGGAGTGGAGTTGTTTATGTCGTGAGAAAAAATCCTGCAACTGGCAGGAATTGAACCCAGGACCCTGGGATTGGAAGGCAAGCATCTTAACCACCAAGCTATTCAACTATTATTATTATACAATATACATGTTGTGTGTGACAAACCACTTAAGGAACAAATTACAAATGCTGCTGTTTGAACGTAAAGATAGTACTATTTTTATTATTACAACATTTTAACTTGTATGTTTCATATGTTAAATATCTTCAGTTGATTGATAGATAAATGTAGATCCAAATAATGAAAAAAATCTGCCAGAACTTCTAAATTGATATTCTAAAGCTGTCAACCCACACTATCAAATGTTAGCCATGAAGTTACTTGTATTCTGATTGGATCGTCATTTGTGTTTAGCTGTTCTACCATTGTGCGATGCAACTCAGCATCTGAATTCTTATTTTTTTTACATTGTTCTTTCTTTCTAGATATTAAACCCAAACAGTATTCTGTAGAAGGAGTGTATCTGACCGAGTTAGGTTTCCAGCAGATCACCAGCATGTCGCATCATAGGAAAAAGTCTCGTAAAAAGCGCAAGTCCTCCCACGGTTTCTCGCTGCTCAAGAAGCTAGCCGATCCAAACTCTGAACCAACCAAAGATCTCACCAAGCAAGATGTGTATAAGAGACAGGTATTTAATTGTGAGCCTGTGTACTAAATTGAACATTACTTGTTGAGGGGAAAGGTCATCTCTAAAGACAATCTTATATGCAAATAAATTTGTTTAAGTTACAAAAACAACTTAAAGTCTTCCCTAACACGTTAGAATTAAACTCAGGCACTATCCTCATTTACCGGAATCCACACATAATTATTCAGTTAGGGTTTTGCCTCTTGGTGTAATAAATCTATCGTGGTTTATATAAGGCCTCATAAGACTGAAAATTACACCATTTGCAGGCAAAACTACAACTAAATCATATATATCATGGCATTGCTCCAGATTATATAGAAAAACATACACACACGATGCTTTACACAAACTAAATCTCAATATGAGATTTAGGGAGTGGAGTTGTTTATGTCGTGAGAAAAAATCCTGCAACTGGCAGGAATTGAACCCAGGACCCTGGAATTGGAAGGCAAGCATCTTAACCACCAAGCTATTCAACTATTATTATTATACAATATACATGTTGTGTGTGACAAACCACTTAAGGAACAAATTACAAATGCTGCTGTTTGAACGTAAAGATAGCACTATTTTTATTATTACAACATTTTAACTTGCATGTTTCATATGTTAAATATCTTCAGTTGATTGATAGATAAATGTAGATCCAAATAATGAAAAAAATCTGCCAGAACTTCTAAATTGATATTCTAAAGCTGTCAACCCACACTATCAAATGTTAGCCATGAAGTTACTTGTATTCTGATTGGATCGTCATTTATGTTTAGCTGCTCCACCATTGTGCGATGCAACTCAACATCTGAATTCTTATTTTTTTACATTGTTCCTTTTTTTTCTAGATATTAAACCCAAACAGTATTCTGTAGAAGGAGTGTATCTGACCGAGTTAGGTTTCCAGCAGATCACCAGCATGTCGCATCATAGGAAAAAGTCTCGTAAAAAGCGCAAGTCCTCCCACGGTTTCTCGCTGCTCAAGAAGCTAGCCGATCCAAACTCTGAACCAACCAAAGATCTCACCAAGCATTACAGTTCAGATGGCTCCGAAAAATGTAAGCCTTGGTATTTGATAGTCTGCTCTCTGACATTGGTCTGTAAAGTAATCTTACTGCTGTGCGTTCATGCCAGGAAAAACTAGACAAGAATCCCAAACATTTTTAGAAAAATTGCTTAGTGTATTATGTATAAAATCTCTGTTTACAAAAGTAATATTTAAACAGAAAATTTGATAAAGTGCTCTTGTTGCTTAACAATACCAATATTTATAATAAAGTCTTTAATAGTGTTTCCACCCTGATTAGGGTAGGAAATATTATTGGCATATTTAATTTAGGTGAGTCGAATGGCCAACCTACAGCCATAATATCGGTGCTAGTCCGAACGGCAAGCTTGCCTGTGGTTCTGGAGGTGGAGTAAGTCTTCTTGGATAGGGACTATAAACCGTAGGCCCAGTGTACACAAATGGCTCATGTGCACTTTAAAGAACCTAGTACATCTTTTAAGATGAGTAGGGGGTTACCCCGGTGTAGTGATCCATACAGCCTCTGCCATCTTATGATGGAATTGCCACTTTGTAGAGTGATTGAGTTAACTGTTTGGCATATCATTGGCCCTAGTGCCTAAAGCTGAATAAATAATTTATTTATTTACTAGACCCTTCAACACAAAACTGCATTGTTTTTGTTTTTTCTGTTTTTTTTGTGGGGGGGGGGGTGTAAGCTTATACCTAAAGGGTCATGAAAAAAGTTTAACTTTAGGGATGGCCATTCAAAAGGCAGATTCTAAACATGGTATGCCCAAAGTATTTGTAAAGTCACCTGAGCTACTTGTTTAGATACACTGGGATTTTGCCCTGGAAAATGCTGGTATATGAAATCAGACATAAAGTAAGAGGTGGTCTTATACCTAAGGCACTACAGTACCTCTGTGTATGTTATAAAGAAATAAAATAAAAATTGTTATCTTTATATATCAGTTAATTATCATTGCTTTCTATCCATCTATAGATCATAAAGAACGATCATGCGATGATGAAGAAGAACATAAAGTAATAGAGAGTAGCCAATTGGATTTTTCGCACAAGAAGAAACGGCAAAAGAGGAAGCCATATAGGCCAGGCATTGGCGGCTTTATTGCAAGACCCAAGCGAGGTGGTGGAGTAGGGCCTTGCCTAGCCCCAAGGAAGACCCAAGCAGACTTAAAACCAGATATCCCTATGGTTGAGGCACCTTCTGGCATGAAGTCACCTACAGAGCCTATGTCAGAGGGTAAATATTCTAGCACATAGGTTCTGTCCATTATCAAATTTTATGTGTCAAGTTTGTGTGATGTGCCCATATGATGATGATGATGTCATTATGTCACCAAGTATTGTTTCACTTAACCTACACATTTTCAACACTAAGTCATCAGTCTCAACAGTGCTCTATAGCTAACTATACAATTATATACAAGTATTTTTCCTTTTAAAAAAATACTTTATTTTTGATTGTGAATCCAGATACTTGTTTTCAAAGGTGACTAGCATTGGAAATATAGATAAATCAAAATTATTTTATGCTGCATTAAACATAGCTAAGATGTCGTTTTTGGGTAACAAATTTTCATATTATCTTGTTTATTCTAACATAAAACTAAATTATTTTGAAATTTTCTGTTATGAAAGGAAACATGGTTGCCTTATTAATTTGTTGAAATTTGTCAATAAAATTCATAAGCATTTTCTTGTAATTTTAGGCCAAGCAAACTTTGTAGAACCAATGAAAGAAGGAGAGGTTCAAGGCCCCTTGGCAGAAGGCGAAAAACCAAAGAAGAAGCGTCGGGCTAGGAAAAAGAGCATACTGGAACAAAAATTCCCATCATACATCCAGGTATGAGGTCTAGACAGCAGTAGATTGTCAAGACAAAAGCTTACTGTATAACATCACATACAAATAATTTTAGTTTCCTGAAATAGTTTTTCATGCCACCTTCACCTACATTCAATGTGTTACTATCGCTTTGTGAATGTTGCGAGTTCTCTCTGGCTAGTATTTGTACCACACCTTTGCAGTTGTATTGTGAAGAGGTTTCCATTGTTTTCAGTAATAAGCTGCTAACATCAAGTGTCTACTGTCACAGCCTTATTAAAGATTATTCTTATGAAAGTATTAATCTGTTACATTATATTGTAACATTTTCCTATACACAAGAATTACTGTATAGCAGTTTAACAACTGTTTATCTCTTTTTACATTTTTATAATTTATAGGAAGCATTTTTTGGCAAAGAACTCCTAGTTTTTAGTAAAAAGAGGAAAGGGTCACCAGGAATATCGGACGAGGAGAGCAACTCACCAGCAGTAGTCAGGCAGAAGGACACTGAGATCGTAAAGCCACCGGAGTCTGTGACATCGACATCAAATGTAGCTGGCTCAGCCTTTGGTCTTGGCAATACATCTGATAACGTACAGACAAGCCAGGTAAGATGGGTCAGTGGTGAAGTGCCTGTCTTTAGGTTCTAGAGTTCTGGTTCATGCTGTATAATGTTAAACGTTGTGATTGCATGCCTAGCATGAACCGACAATGCAGCAGTGTGGTCTAACGTGCTAGAGCCCAGCTAAATTTACCTTCGATAAGATCCAAATTATTTTAATCGCTGGCATTCTTCCACTTAAAACAAAATATTATTTTAACTCTTATTCAAACATCTTTATGTTTTATGGCCCTTTCTATTGTGTTCCTTCTAGTTGTTAGATTGCCAAATTGTGTTGTTTACATGCATTTCGCGATGTCAATAAGTTGCTGACCCCAACACTAGTTCGTCATCGTAAACATTTACCCTCAATCCAACGACACTTACGTTGATAGTTAGTTGTTCTAGTTACTTTTATTACATTAATATAGTGATTATTATACCAGAAATGGAAGAAAAGATCAAACTATTAATAAATAAATATAACAAACTTGATTCTATTAAGAAAAATATATATTATCACTTTGTAAAACGTGCGCAATCAGACTTTTTTTACGGTATTAATTGGCCGATGATGACATCATCGGGCAAAGACCATTCGTAAAATCGACTATTCGTAAAATTGACGTTCGTAGAATGGACGTTTTACTGTAGATAATAGGTAAAACAAACAAATTAATTATGAATTTTGATAACAGAATGTAAATTTTACACATTAGGAGCAACAAGATCTTGGTAGTGCAGAGGATGCCCTCAACCTCTTTACTCATGATGACGAGATATTTGGTATGCTAATGGAGGATGGTTTAGGCAAACATGGTGGAGGTAAGTCAAGTCAAGTCAAATCATGCTGTAAAAAAAGTTTCTTGAAACTGACTTAGTCACTGGACTGGTTGTCTTCTGTGAGGATGTATACAATTAAGCAGTATTTTGGTTAATCTCTTAATCTTTGATTGCATTGTATCCTTGTAAAATTGAATTTAAATATTGTAATTATGTTTTTTGTTTTTCTTTTATCAGGTATTGATCTGGATGCAGTAGCGGCTGAAGAACCACACCAGACCACTGGTGCTCATCCTGACAACTCAGAACATCACGGTCATTCAGATGACTTTGATTCCATATTGAATTCTAATCTTGGCCAGATGGTTCCTGATGGTAAGTTACAGAAATAACAACTTGAAGCTTTGAAGAAATTAAAATTTATGTAGAATGTAGTACATGCATCTTAGTATTCTTACACATGTTTATACTGCCATCAGTTGTTTTATATTATGGGCTCTCTACTCCATACGGATAAATAAGTTGACATATTTTTGATGGATTTATACATTGAATTGATAAATGTGACGTCTCACCACGAAATGAGACTCATCGTTGGTGAAATCATATTGAGATATTCACTAAAACAGACCAAAATCAACATTTTTACAAAATTTTGATTTTAATGTTTTTGAATAACTTGATAGTTATATTTTATGATGGTATACTTTGTAAGTGAATTTTCTTGCCAAAACAGTATTCTCTGCACATATTCTGTAATTCTAGTCATATTGTTTGTACAGGTTAGTTTATCTTTGAGGCCAGTTTTCTTGTGGTTCTTATACACCTAAACTTTAAATGCTCACGTCTCTGGATTTTTCTTATAGTAGGGAAGCCATTCAAAGACCAAATGAAAGCTTATAATGTGATGTACCCAAATATAATATAAACTCAATTTTTGAATTTCTAACCATGAGACTGATTTTTTGGCGAGACCTCACAAATGTGCTACAATCTCAGCTTGTTATTGTTTGCCTTTTATGCCAGTGCACAATGCACAATCAGTCGGCACGATTATATAAAGACTGCAACGAGGCTTGAGCTATAGATTGATATTCACAGATCGTTATAATCAACTCCGACTGACGCCTAAATTCAGCAGATAGAATTGCATTTTGTAAGCACTCATAGATATCGTGGATAGATTGTCGCTGACAGTAGGAAAAATGTCAGCCAACGCATTTGTACGCCATGCTAAAGTTTTGTAAACCATCCTCCATTTATAGAGGCATAGTTGTTATTTTTGCTGCACTGTTGTAGCCAGATTTTTTTGTGTATAACCAATTGCCAATAATACATTTTTTTTCAGATTTATCGCACATTGATAGCAAAGAAGTTATAGATTTATTTGGTAGTGTGTTGAGTCCTACAGACCCACATCCGTCTACCACCAGTGGCCAGGTAACAGTTGCTGCTACAGCTGTTAGCGTGTCATCGTCTAGCCAGGTGGTCATGCATTCACACTTGACCTCATTGGCAACCACCAGTCAGGCCAAAGCCCATCCGAACCGACCCACTACAAGTTTACCCCCCACTGCAACTCAGGGACTAGTAAGGTAGGCTTTTAATTTAGTAATTGTTAACTCATCAAAGTTTTTTATTTTTTTGTGTGTACTGCCCCCGGTGGGGGGAGGGGGGCTGCAGACACTTAACTATTGTGTTTCTTGTAAGTTGTGAGGGTAATCTGTGGTTACAAATAAGAGAAATAGAATTTATGAATTTAAGATTTACCACAGCATTGTCTTTTGAATATGGTAGAAAAATACATTTTAATCTTAAGTCTACTCATATTTTCACTACTGTACGAAAGTAGTACAGAAAAAATGATAGTGCTGATAATGTTGCTCTATGTTTATTTTTTAGCCCGTCATTTAGTCCAGATTTCACAGCACCACCATCACCTTGGCCCTCAGGGGAGGGGGACACTGAGGGCATGTCATATACACAGAAGGCTGTTAAGAAATGGGAGAAGGACGAACATCTTGGCAACTTGGCTACGATCTCACCAGTACTCTATGCAAACATGAACTATCCGGATCTCAAAAAGGACTATCCAGGTAAGTGGAAGAAAAGAAGAAAATTTTAATTGGCCCTTAGTGGAGGATATTGAAAATAAAATTCTAATACAGGATGGAGACAATATGGGTGATGATTCAGTAGAAACAACATTAATAAAAAAATGGTGCTTAAGAAAGCCATCAACCTACAATGACAGGAATGCTGTTAGTAATGGCTCAGTAAGTAAAGCATGATCTCATTATCTTGGAGGTTGCTGGTTCGAATGCTGATAGAGCTAATGCATATTTGTTATACAATTTATGTTATTGTCAGTGTTTCATGTCAGGCTTCATGTTAAATTAAATCATAATTTAACATAATATATTGAACAAATTTATCATCATATGACTTTAAAAATATGTTTTGACTTTTCATCTGAAAATAAATCTCAAAAAGTATAAAAGTATACAATGTTTAGCATTCTTTTTTTAATTTTCAGATTGGCCCTCAAGAGCTAAACAGATACAAAAGTTGTGGAGGAAGGTTCCACCTGAGGAAAAACAACCATTTTTGGTAAGTCATGGAAATTATTCCTCAGCACTTTCTGGAAAATACATTGCCTATTATGCTTTCACTGCTTGTACTAAGGTATTTTACTGTTCAGGGAAATGAGAAAGGTGTAATGGTAGTAGACATATTTTTCAACTGTCCCAATTAAATTGCATTTGTCCCAGTTTTAGCTTCATGGCTGCAAAAAGTCTTTTAATATTCCACTTTCTCAGGCACCAGGAACAAAATGAAATAGAGGAAAATAATCTGGGGATACTAATTAACTGCCAATTAAGGGAACTAACACTAATGAATTTGCGAATCTGAAATTATCTAAGTGATTTTGGAGGAACTATAAATTCTGGTGTATAAGGCAAATACAATAGATTTTATATTATGTTTGAGTAATGAAATGTTTTAAATGTACTAATAATTGGACACCTACTAAAATATGGAGGACTTTATTAATGTTATTTTACTTGTGTTATGCAATTGTAGTAGAGAGAATGCCAAGCTATACACACTGAACAAACTGCCCTCACCTCTGCAAAGCGTTACCTCTAGGCACGCCATGCAGGCTTCTAGGCCCCTTCTGTTAAGGGCTTGCACATAATTATTTCTAAAGCTCTGTGAGGACTATAACATTTTATTTGACAAAAACATGTGACCTGCCTAAACATGGTTGTGATGGCATCACTTTATGACCATATATAGGCACATCATGACTATATATGGGAGTACAATCGTTTTTTTGTAGAAGGAAATTTGCACAGAGCTTCATAGTGTTGGCAGGTATTTGCTAGACAATATGTAATATAATGGTGAAAATAGATGGTATGTTGGTTGAATAAATAATGATAGTATCAATGACTTGTAATCGTGAGCTAATTGATGTGTGATACTTATGTGTGAAGTGTGAAAGATGAGTGGTATGACAGTGACTTCCATGCTTGCATGTATACTCCTTACACCCATTTTGTTCCATATGGTTTATTTTCATTACCTGAAAATCAGTCATTTATCCTGCAATCAGAAAAGCCAATGCATGGTTTTCCCTCAATCACTGATGGTATCACCTGCCCACAATCCTTGTTGCCCCCCCCCTCCCACTTTGTTAAACCATAGCTCTGCCTGATCTCTTACCCCAACCCATTTTAATTCTAGCTTAGCAAGTTGGTGGAAAAGTTCATCAACCCTCTACTGTATTTAATTGACAGTATTACTTGATAACGATTCTCTTGAGACGAGGCCAAAAGAAATATTGTGATTGCCCAATTACTGGAAGTATTAGAAGTCAGGGTCAACCTGTCAGTATGTCTTTTTTACTCCAAATTCTATAGTTCATTAAGCCAAAAGCCATGAATTAGTGTATAAAATATGTTAATCGAAGCTTATTTTGGACACATTAAAAAAAAAGTTTCTGGCTTTGGGCAATACAGACTTAATAAACCTTAAAAAATCCAAAACATTGTTTCCATCAATCCTGTGTTAAAGCAACCACAGTCACGCCATATAAAAAGTGATCATGTCGTGCGCATGAACCACTATCACGCCACCCATGCTTAACACATGCATGTCTAATCCACAGCAATACGCTAAGGACAATCGATCAACTCAGAAACTTAAAGTTACGCAGAAGGTACGTCATACTTTCACTCATTCCAATGTCGTCAACATCGATGTCATGGTTTCATTCATTTGACTTTATTGAGTCTACTGTGTTTGTGTGTGTACGCTTATCTCCTATTTCTTCCTTTCACGATTCATGCTCATAGTTGCCTATAGACAATTTCATACTATTTCCCATATGCCAAAACTCCTGATAAGCTTGCTTTCTCACAGTGTAGTCTAATCCTCAAGGATTATTTAGAATTATATCAGCTTATCAGTTATCCATTTTGAAACTTTTAAAACTCTAAGTTAAAAGAACATATATAAATTATTGAATTTTAAGTCTTAACTCAAGAAATTCTAAATGTTCTTTAGCACATTATGAGACTAGAAGGATGCTAGTCCCCACACATTCGCTAATTCCTAATGTTATAGTGCCACCAAGACTGCAACCAAGTTTCAATATCTCTCCAACATTATTATTTTTTTTTTTGGAAGAAAACTGATAATAATATGCTTTTTATTCTTTTTATTCTTTAAAGCAAAGAAGATATATTGTTCTGGCAATTTTTATATATATTCTTTTCTTATCTAAATAAATGCATGGAGATGTATAGCTGTGTTATGTTTTCTATTTTTTTTTATGAGCTAATTTGTTGTTGATTAATGTTATTTGATTTTATCTAACCGTTTATATCTTAGGTTAGTATCTGTAAGATAACTTGCATTATCTAAAAATGGTTTATATTTAACTATATGCAAAAGTCCACTCTCACATGTTTGGTTTTTCTCTTTGAAACACATTTTTAGACACTTATTATTTTAATTTTTATTATTTATTATATGTTATATATTATTGTTATTTATTATTATTATTGTTATTATTTATTATTATTATTTAAAATTTTAATAATCATCATGGCAAACTAATAATAATGCAACAATACCCCATTAAACTAATTCTTAATCTAGTAGTACTAAAAAATATGCATTCAGTTAGGAATTGTTGGCTATTTAAGTTATTGACGAAAAAGATCTCATGTCTTTTAGTGCCACATAAAATGTTGTTTAGTAATATAGTGACTGCTCCTAATTTAATTTTACGTACCCGTTTGTCTGAACAGCTTTGCAATTGTTGTGAAAACATGAATTGCGTTGTACGGCCGATCAAATTGATATTCGAGAAAATCCTATTTTGATAACGATTGGCCTTCAGTATTTCTGTTAAGTATATTTCATCATAGTAAACATTCTGAGAATATTTACATAGTGTTTTTAGGCACATTTTTTAAGGCCATTGTACTGAATTGATTGGAAATCAAACACTTTATGTATCAGTAGTTCATCTTTATAGGTGTTTTTCTCTAAAGATAATTTCAAACATCTGAATTTCAAATTTTTCATGTGGTTATTATAAGACTCATTTTTTAACAGTTCAGAAATTCATTATTCAGAGAGTTTGAACTTTTGTATAGCATCTTAGTGTTAAGGATCTATGCCGTACAAAGCCAAGCTCCCAGGGAAACAATTTCACAGTTTTCTGCAAAATAATAATACTGTACAGAAGTGAAAAATAAAATAAATTTCTTAGTATTATCTCTGATATCAGTTAAATTGTGATTATTTTTCTTTCCTTCCAATAATATTAATTTTGTTAGCTGTATTATTTGAAAATAAACTTCAATTGGTTTCAGTTAAGTGAAGGGATCATGAGAAAGAAGATGGTGGTAAATGCACCAGGCTTTGGTGTCGGTAGAGGCATCCCAGTACCAGGTTCTGTAAATCAGCCTATACAAGGTGTAGGTGGTCTTGGCTTCCCTGTACCAATGATACCACAACCTATAGGGTCACCTGTATTGAAACGGGATATGGGTTTGAATGATAAAGAACAAAAGGAAGTGAAGCTGCAAAAGGAACAAGAGCAGGAAAGAAGATGGAAACTACTGCAGCAGTCAAGAATTGAAGAACAGCAGCAGATACCTTCAGGTGAGATTGATGCTTTCCAGATGATATTATTTTCAAGCATTACAGGCATTTTTAGATTTTGAATATACATGTCTCCCTCAGATTAAAGACAGTTAATTGGGACTGGGATTTTCCTGGTCTTTACCAGTTTTGGTTTTTAATTAGAAAATTATTATAAATTAAAAAGATAGCACTCACTTTGGACTGCAGAAAGGTGAGACCAGTATATAGAATTAAATATATAGAAATAAGACCGCCATACTTACATCATGAATATGTCTACTCGCATCACTCCCTGATTTCACTCCATAAATTTGCAGATTCTTATTGATGTCATGCATTAAGAAATTTCTGAACTTTGACACCAAACACAATGTTCTCTATTGCCCTATTACTTTCTCTGGTGCAATTAACTCCATAATAGTTTCACTAAGAATATAAATTTCTGTATGATTAAACATTGGTTATTGATGATATTTTTTTATTTCTAAGGGGAAGGAAAAAAGACAAAAATTACTGGTGCTGGTAAATCTGGGATGATGTTGGAGATGCCAGAGAAATCTGAGCAAGATATGTCTGGGGCTATGATGAATGTACCTTTGCCAGTCCAGAGTCCAGTTGGAGTAACATTGCAACAACATGCAGGTGGTCCCAGTCCACAGCATGCCTTCCAATCGAGTATCTTATCAAATCCACAACCAACAATGATGTCTTCTCCAATGCATAACAACTTGCCACATGGACCTTTTTCTACTATGGACCAACATACACCTGGTGCTCTAGGCCATGCAACTCTGGAAACGGATCATTCACAAGGAATGCCGAATGAACAAGTCAACCTCAATTCACTACCTGGCACACCAATACCAGGATCACATAACCAACCTGGAGCTATGGCAGCTGCAGTGTCTAATAACACAGGGGCACCAATGCCACAGATGCATCTTGCTTTACCAATGCCAGGAGCCCCAGTAACCTCAGTTCCACCTAGTCCAGTTCATAGTGGTCAGATGATTGCTACAGGCAGCCAGGTCCATTCAGCTGTGACACCAGGAAATGAAGCATCTGGATCTCAGTTTATGCAGTCTAATCAGTTCCCATTTCAAGGCCAAGGCCCACACCTTGCGATGTCAGCAACAGATGAAAAGTTTCAGAACAGGCAACACTTAAAGGAATTGTTAATGCGAAGGAAAAAGAGAGAACCACAGACACAAGGTGTAACAGCACATTGGCAAGGAGAAGATGTCCAACGAGGTCCCCCTCCTCCTTATCCCGGAGGAACACAAATGCATGCTAACCAGCCAGGTTTAAATCCAAACATCAGAGCACCTTTTCAAGGTGGTGCAGAATTTTCTCCAGGATTTGCACCAAGAATGGGATTTGATAATCCTCGTCATCCCCAGCCTGAAATTCAAAATATGCCTAATCCGCAGGGTGTGATGCAGGCCAATGCACCAGGAGGTCTGATGCCTCAGTGGAAGCAAGGGGGACAATTCGTTAGCCCAAGAATGCCAACAAATCAACCAGACAGGCCTCAAGGACCTTACATTGAACTTAAGCATGGTGGAATTGCACGAGCAAGAAATCCTCATATGGCAATCTTACATGAAAGGTTACAGCAAAGAGCTGGAGGAGTTCAGTTCCAGCAGCCCCGGATGCCTTTGAGACCTGTATTAGATGCACATGGCAATTCCCTTGATCCATATGATCATTTAGTTAGACAGAACCACGCAAATCAAGGAATGCCATTTCCTGTTAAATCTGAAGCACAAATTCAGCACCAATTACAAAGTAGAACCACTCATGTGACAAGCACTTCATTGCCTGCTACACCAACTAGCAGTGCACCAACAGTACCATTCACAGGTATTGGGCATACGCAGCAACAACAATTTCAGGGTCAACCAATGGTACGAGTACATAGTCAGCCACATGGGGAACAAGGACAAGAAGACCATGATGCCCATCTAGAAGATTTATTTAAGAATGGTGAATTTAATATATTGGATTTGGCAGATCCTCTGATTGACACAAACAAACACTCAGAAGATAACCTGCAGCTATTCCGAGATCTTGGAATTGGGGATGAAAAGGATGATGAATCAAAGCAAAGCCACCAAAAGCAATCACTCCAGAGAACTTCGTCACAATCTGTTGATGACTCAAGTAGCATTCCACAAGAAAACAAAGAAACAACAGCAGTGGTTACTAGCAATAGGACTGCTATGGGAAATGAAGCACAAACAAGAACAAATGAACATCAAAAAGATGATATCACAGAGAAGAGTTCCACCTCAATATCAGCTGAATCACCCAAGGAAGAATCAGACCTTAAGAATATCAGTGAGTCATCAGAAAACTCTGGCAGTGAAAAAAAGTCTGAAACTGACAACAAAAACAACTCGAATCAGGCTAACGTTTCAGTTGCTGTTGAAACTAGCATTGAAAAACCATCACAGAAAAGTCCTCAGGAAGAAAAGAACAGTAATGTGACTGATAAGACGAGTGCAAAGTTGAGTGAATCACCGCAAGTGTGTGATGGTATTCATGGATGTCCTGGGGATAAAGAAACAACTGAAAAATCTGAATCTGGAAAATCCAATTCGGAAACCGATGATTCTAACTCAAACGCTGGCCAGAATAAAGAACAAGGAAGTCAGTCAAAAGATGCCAACCTGAACCCAGATAAACAATCGGAAATCACAACTACAGATGCAGAAACTTCAGACTCGCTTGATAAAACTGAAGCCAGTGAAGCAGTTTTGAAAGGGATTGAAGTTACAGCAGATGCAGCCAGTCAGTCTGAGGAACTTGGAAAGAATTCCTCCAGTAATGAAAGTAAACAAACAACTGAGTGCTGTGGTGATGGAAACTGTTCACCAAAACCAGATGATAATAAATCACAAGAGAGCCTGCCAAACGAAAATACAGATTCACTAGAGGGAACATCTGATAAGCAAAGTGAAGATCTAAAAGTTGATCTCTCTAAGACTTCACAGACTTCTCAAACTATTTTGAAAGACCCAGCTGAAACATCTGGAAGGGATGCCAATATAACAGATAAAGTTGTAGAGCCATCAATACCACCACAATCATTAGGATCACTTAGTGCAATTACTGGACAAGAAACTGAGACTGTACAACAGATAAAGACAGAAACTGTAGTTCTATCTAAAAGGACCCCTCTTCTAGATGAGCAGCCTCTTCTGTTACAAGATCTTTTGGACCAAGAGAAGCTAGAGCAACAGAAACAACAGCAAGAGAATCCTGGTGTAGCAGGTCCTGGTATAAAAACACCTACACCAGACCCATATCTAAATGAGTTGGACTTTGAAAAATTGAAGGCTGAAGTGCGACAGTTTGCAAAAGGTAAGTTGTTTTAGAATCTATAACAATGATAGGTAATAAGTGTATGAAATTTGGAATGTTTTTTAAAACATCTACGCTAAAATAGTAAAATTAATCTTAAAATTGTTCTTTTAAAGTAAGATGCTAGTTTTCAAATGAAATAATAGAATGATGAAATGTTTTCATTTCTAAAAGCAGGACACTCACTGTGCCCGATGGGATTCGTCGTAAGACATTCGTACAACTGATTCAAAGTTGACAGCTTATTTCATAGTTCAGATGAGAAATTCAGTATTTTAATTTAAGATTTCCAAATTTTCTTAAATATGGTATACCTTTTACTTACATTTTACCTTAAAAAAGTTTTCGCTTATAGAGCTTAGTGGAAATGGTTAATTTGATATCAGTTCCTCAATATTCACATGCAAGTGAACACCACCCAGGGGTTTAGCCAGAAAAACGAAATAGGCTATCCAAAATAAAAGCCAGTGGGCGTGGCACTGAGCCAATGAGTGGACGACGCCCACTCGTGGCTGTGCCCATCTTTGGAAATCCCCACCGAATATTGGTACGAAAACAACGTACATATAATCAATAAATGTTTTTATCAAACGTATGATTTAGCTTTAGTTTAATGTAATATTTGATAGATTTGAAGAATATAAAGAATTTGCTAAAGGTAGACCGCTAGGATTAGCTGATTATGCCAAGCCGTCATGGTAAAAGTGGCCGTCCTAAATAATTGTAGGCCGTCCAAAAGATGGCCAGACAGCTCGCTGGCTAAGCCTATGACACCACCACAAAATTGGTTGTAGTGGGAATCCGAATTAAGCCTGTATGGCATTCATTATCTGTTTTATACATTTAGTGATGTCCCAAGATTGTTTAAAATAAAAGATGCTTCTAATCCATAGTTCAGGTCATGTATATGTTTTCCTTCATTTTGTTCTAATATGAATGGTATTGTTGTTTTAAAAAAAGCGTATCAAAGTTATTCGTTAGATATTTTTGCTTTCATTATTTCGTTGTACAACTCTTACAATTTGTTTCAGAAGCTGAACTAAAGGCACCCGGTCCTCATGCTCAACTCCTACAAGCTATGAATAGACAGCACCAAGAACAATTGCAACAAATTCAGCAGCAGCAGTTCAGTGGTACTGCCCAACAAGAAGCAGCAGTTGTAGATCAATTGGTTCAACCAGAAGTTCAGCCAAGTCCAGGTTTATCACGTATGCCAGCTCCAGACCCATTGATTAATAAGCAAGGAACTTTTTCACCAAATCCTCAGCCTGTTATGGCAGGACCAAGATTTCCTATACCAGTTGGACAGCAGTCACCAATGGTGCCGGGCCAAATGCCTTTACGTCCACCACAGCAAGGGATGGCAAATACACCTGGTCAAATGTCTCCCATGAATTCAGGAATGCCTAGTCCAGTAGGTTCACAGGTGTTTCCGGGAATGCAACGACCACCAGTTCCAGGTGTTCCTAGAATGCCTGGTGGAATGACAAATCACTGTATGCAAGGTCCTTCACCAAGTCCCATACCACATATGATGGGTAACATGCTAAACCAAAATCAGAGAGTTCCTGCATCCTCACCAACTAGTGTACCAAGAATGCCTGGTGGAATACAAAGTCCGGGTGGGAATATGGTTATGCCCATGCCATCACCAAATTCTATACAGCATATGCCGGGACCTCAGGGACAACCGATGGGAGAAATTCCTCTAGGGATGATGTCTCCTGGTATGGCTAACCAACAGGCAAGGATGCAGATGAGTGCACAAAAACCAGCACTCTTAGAAGGCCAAGGATTTATGCCACCATTTTCAGATGAACCAGCACCAAACCCTCAAGACAGAGTTCAACATCAGCAGTGGCTACTTCGTAAAGAACAACATTTGCAACTGCAAGTAAAAAGTCTAGATACCGAAATAAGCAAATTTAGGAAACGAAAGAAAGTTCTATCAGCTAGACAAAGATCTTGTAAAAAAAGTAATCGTGTATTTCCAGAAAATGATGTTAAGGAGTTAGAGGCCCTGTCTCAGCAATATGGAGGCATTACTAAAAAGTTAGAGGCTGCCAGAAAACTTGTACGCCAGCATTCCTCCTTGATGGAAGAATATGGATTAAAACCTCAGAAAGCATTAAGTGGTCCCGCAAATATGATGCAAAGACCTCCATTCCAAGGTCAACAAAACATTATGATGGGTAATGCTCAAATTCCCTTTATGCATCCTAGAGGTATGATGCCTCATATGATTCGACAACAAATGAATCCTCATCTGATTCAAGGCAATCAGGGACAAATGATGCCGGGGAAACCAGGTGCCATGATTCAGCATTTCCAACAAACTCTAATGATGCCCCAAGGCCAAACACCTATGATGCAGCTTGGTGGTCAACCACGAATGATGGTACCAGGCCAGCAGTCGCCAATGATGATGGGTGGACAGCAAGGTCCTGTTATGCAACAAGGACAGTCAATGATGCAGGGCGGACAGATGTTGCAGCCTGGACAACAAATGCATGTGCAGTCAATCATGCAACCATCAATGATGCAGGGTGGCATGTTACATGGAGGTCAACCTATGATGCAACCAGGTCAACAAATTGCTATGAACCAACAAGGAATGTTGCAGCAGCCAGGAATGATGGAAAAGCTACGAATGCTTCCAGTTCGACAACCTGGCCACCAATCACCTATGCTCCATCCAGGACAGCAGTCCCCAATGTTGCAACCAGGTCAGCAGTCACCCATGATGCCTCCAGGTCAGCAGTCACCAATGATGCCACCAGGTCAGCAGTCACCAATGATGCCTCTAGGGCAGCAGTCACCAATGATGCCTCCAGGTCAGCAAACTCCAATGATGCCTCCAGGTCAGCAATCACCAATGATTCTCCCAGGTCAGCAGTCTCCAATGATACCTCCTGGTCAGCAATCACCAATGATAATTCCAGGTCAGCAATCACCCATGGTACCGCCTGGTCAGCAATCACCAATGATGCAACCTGGTCAACAGTCACCAATGATTCAACCAGGACAGAAGTCACCCATGTTACAACCAGGACAACAATCACCGATGATACAACCTGGACAACAATCTCCAATGGTTCCCCAGCCATCACCATTGATGCCATCAATGGTGAAGTTAAGCCAGCAAATTTGCAAACTGCAAATCAACCAAATTCAAGCCAACCAAATGCAAGCTGCAGGATTAACAAATAAACCAGCATCCATGATGCATGAAATGCAAAGACAGATGAGGAATGCAGAGCAGTTATCAAAATCAGATCAAATATCAACAGCTCCAACTACAGCTAGTATTCTGCCAGCCCTACAGAGTTCTCCAATGGTTCAACAGAGCCATCCTCAGTCACCCATGGTGCCTGTAAATGACCCAGCTTCATTGGCTCATACAGACCGCCAGTCTCCCATGGTTTCCTTAGGGCATCAATCTCCAGTTGTGTCCCAAGGCCAGCAGTCACCAATGGTACTGTCAAATAATTTACCTGGTCAACAATCACCATTAACTAAATCAGATAAGCAATCTCCAGTGGTGACTCCTGGGCAACAGTCACCAATAGTTCCTCCCGGACAACAGTCTCCCATGCCTGGACATCAGTCTCCTATGATTCAAGCTATTCAACAGTCTCCACAAGGAAGTCAGCCTTCTCCTGTAATTTCTACACTGGACACACAAGGCCATTCATCTCCTATGGTGCCAATTGGTCTTCAGCAAGGTGCACAGTCACCAATGAATCCAGCTACTCCATCGCCAATAGTGGGAAATAATCCAAAATTCCCTACCCCTCCACATCCAGGGATGGTACAAAATCCCATGTCATCTATAAAACCTCCAATGTCACCTCGAGTAACACCTGCAGTAATGCAACAGCAGCAACATGTTCAGATTTCTGTAATGGACAACAATCCATTTAGTGAGGCATTCCAAGCCAGAGAAAGGCAAGCTAAATTGGAACAACAAAGCGAAAGACAAAGAATCCAATTGGTCCAAGAGATAGAAAAGATAAAAATGCAACATATGAAGCAAGAGCAAGGACAAAATCCAATAGCTGGGTTACAAACTCACACAAAATCCTCTCAAGGGGAGATGGCTTTCTACAATCAAGATCCTCTTGGTTTTCCAATGCAAGATCCAAATGTTATAGCAATGCAATCTACAAATGAAACGTTAAATCACATCCAGCAAGTAATATCACAACAATCTCAATCTACAGTGCCAATGGTGGATAGCCTTCAGATGCCACCTCCAGAAGGCTTTCCAATGCCTCCAAACTATCCAGTGTCTCAAGATAAAAAAGAGAAGCCTAAAAAGAAGCGAATGCGCAAGAAAAACCAAAAAAAGAAGGACACAGACGGCGAAGGTTCTGATGGTAATGTAATGAGCAATGTCCGTCCTGGTCGTCCCCTACCGTTGATGCCACTAGATACAACACCAGCACCTAATGACTTAATGGCACCAGAGATGTGCATGCAGAAGCCAGAGGAATTAGTGCAGCAGGCAAGTTCTAATGTCATCAGTTCTGCCAATCCTAACATTCCTGTAAATGCTCTGCCAATCTTAGCTGGTATTGATGAACATAGTATGCAGCAGCTGAGTAATCAAGACCCCAGTATGCTCTCAGGAGCACAGAAAACCTTCCTTCAGAACCAACTTCTGAAGCAGTTGCTTCAGGGACCAGCAATTTATGGCCAGCATAAGGTTGGGGCTCTTCCTCCTCACCTGGCTGAGTTGGCACAAGCCAGTGTTAATCAAAACACCGATCAAGTCCAACCTGCCCTACCAAATGGTAATAATGGTACAGGACGAGAACCAGAGGAGGAGGAAGAGGAGATTAAATTAACACCAGAACAACTGAAACAGTTGGAGATGTTGGAGAAACTGCCCTATGTTATTAAAAAGAAGGATGGAAAACCTGCTAAGAATGACCATGAAATTTTGATGGAGCTTCACAGAGAGGAAATACAAGAGAAAAGAAAACAATTTGAAATAGAAGAGAATCGGAAACAAAAGAAAAAAGAAGGTGCCAAAAAGAGTCCAAAAGAGAGAGCACCTCGTAAACGCAAGAAGCTTTCCAAATCAGAGGCAAAGAACCAGGACAACATTATGAATGCTCTGAAACAGCTTCCAGTATTGGATCTCTGTGAACCAGAGGTCGTTATCAACTTTGCTCTCTGTCAGCCGGTTGGGAGCAGTGCATTAAATGGAAAGAATAAACTTTTAGGAAAATATGGTTATGCCTTGATTGATGGAGTTCGAGATTTTTATGGACTTTTTCCAAATGGTGTATTAGAGTCGAATAACCCTCCAACTCCACCATCCTCTCCTCCAATTAAGAAGGAACTAAACCTTGTCAATGGTGAAATACATACTGGAGATGTATCAAAGAAGTTATTGAAGCAAAGAACAAAGTCAGGTAGGAAAAAGTAACTGTAAATAATGATGATATAAATGATTCTAGCGGTTTAGTGAGACTTTTTTATACCATTTTATGCAAGCTGGCAGGTGAAACTGTTGATAATGATTTCCAAAACAAATTGTATTCTTGACATCGTAAAGAATATGAAATTTCATATAGTAAAAACTTTTTTTTTTTTAGAAGCATTTAACAATACAATTATGGACTGTTTACAACTCAGTTTTTACTTAACCATACAAAGTATTCTGTAAAACTGGTATTTCTCACTTGCAGAATTGTAGGCCTAAAATATCAGTTGTTGATTTGGACAAAATTTAATGTAGAAGGTTTGAACCATTTAAATATTAGTTTAATATATTTAAAAAAGTTGTGAATATCTGACAATAATTAATGCTTGCGATACACCACATAGATAGTTATAGTGATAGTTAATTGCCTATGTGGCATACCACAAGCATTTATTAATATTGTTACTTTGCCATGCAAACTTTCAATGAATATATAATTGTTAAAGAGATTGCTAATTAACCATTCAAATTAGGAATTGTAGATTTAGATATGACTTTAAAAATTGATCTTTTGAAGTTGAATCTCAAATTTATGATAAACTTGTTTAATTTGCAAGGTATAAAAAAGTCTTCTTAAAATAGCTGGGAAATTATTGTTTGTGTTAAAATACTTAACTGTACATTCATAACTCATAACATGTTTGAAAATTATATATTTTAGGGTGCATTTATTTTTTTGTCTTGGCAATTTTGTATGCATGTTTTTGTTAGTTTATTTTTTATGGCAGGAAAGAAGGTTAAAAATAAAATAATTTTAAGGCATCCCTTGAATTTTGTATTTTGTTTTACACCTGTCCTTTTTTGTTACTAAGGTGGCATGCCTGGGTTAAGAGCAAGCCCTCTCTCCTCTGTTGTTCCTGTGTCGGATGTAACACTAACCACTGGGGATGAGCTCTTACGCGAGATGCAATCTCATCAGCGCACGATTACTAGAGCCGCAAACTTGGCATACAGCGGTGTCAATGTACCACCTTCTCTACCGACACCTCCACCGTCGAATATTAGCTCTGCTGAAGAAGCCAACCGACTCCGCGTCCGGATGCTATTGCATACGGATTCCAGCGTGCCATCATCATCCCCAGAGTTAGATGACAGTGAACCTGTGCGGTACAAAGGTTTGCGTTTGATAACAGAGAATGCAGAGTCGTTATGTAAGAAGGAGAGATCAACATCGCCGGCTTTCGCTATTGTAAAACCCACGCCAAGGAGAGGTATGTGCCAAAACCTGTCTCCTCATTTTCTTTTCCACCAATCCTGCCTGATTTTTAAATTTTTGCTTCATTTTAAGTTTTAAAATATATTTTTTTCATATTTATAATAATTGCATGTTTCTCGCATTCTTATAATCTAATATTTTGCATGTTATATTATTAAAAAAAAACATTATCCACCATTTACAATGTGCCATCTATCTAGTGAACAAGGAATAAAGGGCGCCACCATAATGAAAAACATTCCCATCTATTGTAATGAAACATGAACAAACATACAATATTTATTTTTAGATCATTACTTCAATGTTCATCCCTAAACCTCCAAGGCGAGAGTTTTGTGTTCTGGCAACCACTGCTAGCGAGTTTAAGTGCAATACAATAGTAGTATGTTTGAACAGGTGTGAACATCAACTCGCATCCTTGATGCCCATTGAACTCTTTCAGAAGTTAACACACGTCTCTGGCAGAGAATGTGTTAGACATAGCCTACGGAATAACTCTTCCTCAACCCCAACATAATTGATGCTGAGGTACAAAATTATATTGATGGTTAAATTTAAGGTGTGACAAGCTCCAAAGTTTGTAACATGTCTCTCTATTCCACTCCAGGTGTAATAAAGAACACAACCGTTGGTTCCTCAGTCACGTTGACACTCAATCAACAGGCAGGCAACAACCCACACAACGTTATTGTGAGTCTTTCTGAAATTCTCAAGATACCAGTTCCGTCCAACATCCAGTTGAATAACTTAGCATTCAAGCAAGACCTGTCATTAGGTATTTACTTATACTTTGTACATTCTATCGGCGTATTAGTCTACTTTATAGATTGTTGGTATTCTACATGTTATTAACCAAGTTTATTTTATGATTATTTTACAGCCCAAAAAAACATTTGATTTCATTATTTTTTAAATTTTTTTTTGTGATTATAATTGTGTTGTGTGTATATTCACATATCTCATAGACTACTAACATAACCTTTAATTTGTTTTGTAAGTAATCATCTTTCCTTTTAGTAATACTATTAATTACTTTATTCTCAAGGTACAAATAAAGGGGATTCCCCTGTGAAAGAAGCACACAATCTCTTGGTATCAGCTTCCTCCAGCAGACAGCGTTTCTGCAAGCACTGCGACGTCTTGATACTTGGGGAAGCTTTCTACAAACCAACTGACGCTACCCCTCCAGGGAAATCGCCAGACCCATCATCTGTGTTCTGCAGTACGAATTGCTTCATGCAATGGACTCTCACGCAGAGAACGCAAACTCTACTGAACACGCAAGAACTTACTGGGCCAGTCGTGAACCATCCAAGTCACAAGTCTCTTTTGCCTCCTAAGCTTGTATCGCCGACGCAAATTAGTCCACCGCCCGTCTCTCCGGGCCCTCCCTCGCCTCCAAGGCCAGAGGTAAAAATTGAAGAGGTTAAGATTGCAGATGTGAAGAGGGAATACAAAGAGATCCTAAAGGAAGCAAAAGAGGCAAGTGCTTTGAAGGAAGCAAGAGAAAAAGAGGAAGCAAGACTAGCAAAGGAAGCTAAAGAATGGAAAGTGAAAGCTCAGATTAAAAGAAAACTAGCTGAAACACCAAAGCCAGTAAGTATCAATGGAAAGTTACTTAATTACCTAGGGGTTTTTTTTAGAAAAAGGTATTTACGTACTCCAGGAATCCATACTATATCAAATCTCTCATTTTTTTTTTTTACATTCTCTCGCAATTAACAACTGTAAATAATGCATTTGTTTCAGCAACCCATGGTGAAGAAATGGAAAAACATTCGTTACAAGAAATGGTCTGAATACTGCCTACCACGAAAGAAATACGCTGACCCTGTTGAAGAAGACATTGATGTGGTAAGATAACTCAGTTAGTAACTTACCAATAAAATAGTGCTAACAAAAACAATACATTTTTAGTTTTAGTTTGTCCTTTTTTTTTAATTAGCTATTGAACTTTGTGATAAACAATAACATAAATCACAGGTACTTCCATTACTAAAAATGTATTGCAATCTTTAATGGAATTTTAATTATTATGTTTCTTCCTATTTTCTTTTTATTTTCTGTTTTGGCATTGCACAACAATTAAAAAATTTTAATTGTTAATTATTCCTGTTATATAGTTAATTCAAAAACTTGGTACATCTCTGCGGCCAGGTAGTGGGCTTGAAGATGCGAGGAATTGTATTCTTTGCAGCGATGTTGGAGATGGGGACACAAATGGATCAGCAAGGTATTTTGATATGATAATTAATTTTAATTACTTTTTAATTTAGAATCAAATATTAATGTATTATTGTTTTTTTGTCAACTGACTACAGACAAGTCGGGACAATGGTACCATAGAGCATGGTTGGTGAAACTGTATGTTCTTTGAATCTAGCCACACACAAGGGTAAAACAGCCCTGTAAATAGTCCAAAATATCTGTTTGCAAAGCTGTTTACTCTTTCATGTAAAATTTTATAAATCCTTACCATTAAATCCATTGTGGCCATTTACAAAGCTGTTTGGCAAGCTTTAGTCTACAGGGTGTATAGTTTGTTTTTTTTTAGCTTTTAGGTTTGGGTAATATAATTTGATCTAAATATTTTACTACATTATCATAATAATAATAATAATAATAATAATAATAATAATTCCTGTTCTCAATTTATAGAAGAGTTTTAACTCTTTTTATTGTTCTAGATTGCTTAATTGTAACGTCAACTCATGGGTGCATCTTAATTGTGCCTTGTGGTCATATGAGGTGTACGAGACTTTAAATGGTGCCCTCATGAATGTCCACACGTCAATTAAACGAGGACTTGCTAACAAGTGCTGCTACTGCAGCAAATTCGGGGCCACAGTTCACTGTCACAAGGTCAGATGTCTGAATATTTATCATTTTGGATGTGCAATAAACGACAACTGTATGTTCTTCAAAGATAAGGTGAGATGACAATAACATTCATCGTTGAATTTTTTGATTGGGATTGCAAAGGGGCACACAACTTCGAAACATTTCATTTATCTTCTGCGATGATTGAAATTCTTTAACAATGTTCAGCATTTATATATCATGTAATGTAGTGAAAGAGAGTCTCAAAGCTTACAAACTCTGAAATAATAAATATGATAATTCTGTATCTAGTTTTTTGCAAATAAGTACTTTTGATAAAACTTGTGGTCATTCACTTAAATTATTAAAAGAGCAATCATGCATCGACTTGCGAAAGTTTTGTTTCAATAATCGTACTATTCATTTGAAAGTGGATTTGACACATTCTTTAAAGAATTAAGCAGTGAATTTTGATTACAAGGCGAAAATACAATATTCCAGAATTAACCGGTTTGGATCTGGATATAGAGGACTTTAGTCCTGCATCCAGTACATCACCTAAGTAAACCTAAGTAACTGTATAACCCCTGTTTCATTTGGACCCAATTATGCAGACCAGCATACATGGGGGAGTATTCCTAGTCAGTGCTGCAAACAAATCTGCAATTAAGCTCCTCCTAGGTAGAGAGAGAAGTGAAGTAAAGTGCCTTGCCCAAAGGAGTAGCTGACATTTGAACCCCAACCTCAAGGTTGAGAGCCTAAACTGTAACAGATGAGCCAACCACTCAGATAGCAAAAAGAAAAAGAAAATTTTACATATGCATCAAAACAAATTTTAAATGCTTGGAAATAGTGGAATGGCACAGAAAAGAATAATTAGTTTATGTATTTCAATATGTAATAAGTGGTTTAATGAATTTTCCATAATTTTAAAGTGAAGAATCAAAGCTGGTAATTTTGTATTTTTTGTTTGTTTGTTTAGACTATGCTTTGCCCTCTTCATGCGCCATCTAAGATTACAGAGAGTACCCTTGGTTCACACACTGTTTTCCGACGAGTATACATCAGTAGGGACGAACACAAGCAAGTGGCCAGGTAAACAAACATTTTCAGTTGAAGGCATAGGAATATTTTTATTTTTAAACGTAATCAACTCTCTTCTGAGTATTGTTGCAATAGATATTTGCACTTCACAATTTATTATTTTTATCAACATACATATCAATATTTTAAGGGCAGTGAATAATGATCAATTATTATCTTCATCCCAGGGTTATGCAGGATGGCGAGAATAAGCGAACACTGCGTGTAGGAAGCCTTGTGTTTAAATGTATCGGTCAACTTCTTCCACACCAAATGCAATCATTCCATTCATCAACAGCAATATACCCTGTAAGTTCTACGGTTTAATTAATTGAAAACTGTTCTTTCGCTAATAAATTTATAACATTTGCAAGTTGTGTTCTGTATTGCTCAACAGAAAATGCATTAGCTAATAGCAAATCTGTGAACCTCTGTCGTTAGTCATTGTCCTATTAAGAACTTACGGCAGTGGTAACAGCATTAGTTAGGGTAAAATGTTGATAGCCGCGAGTGATATATGCAAATTGTTGTTCGCAGGTTGGATTTGAGGCAACACGCTTGTACTGGAGTATGCGATACACCAACAAACGATGTTCATACGTATGTACCATCGGTGATTCTGGCGGGAAACCAGTGTTTACGATCCGTGTCCAGGAGCAGGGACATGAGGATGTTACTGTCCAAGATTCTACAATCAAAGGTGGATATATTAACCAGATTCTTTTACCTATCACCTTCAAAATGCCTTTACATTTTCACTGTTAGTTATTTCAAGGCTGTTGTTTCCACATACTGTATCTGCAAAAAAAAACAATTGTTAATGAAATTTTGTCCTAACAAGGCTACTGCATTAGATATGTATTCGAAATTGAATTGGCATATGTCTCTAAAACTCTATTCACACTATCAATTTTTTTTTATAAAAACTGTTTTTTGCTCATATGTACCTATATATGGTCATGATGTGATGTCGTCATGACCATATTTAGGCATGTCGCATGTTTTAGAATGGTGCAGGGGCGGATCCAGAGATGTTTGAAAAGGGGAACCCTGAAAGTGGGGCCGATCAAGATAATGCCACCCTAGGGGATCCAGGGGCATTCCCCCGCAAAGTTTTCATTTTCTACACAACCGAAAATAACCTCAGGCATTTTGGACAATCATTTTTTTCTTTTTCTTTCTTTTTTTTTTTTTAACTTTTGAAAACAGAGGTGAGGGTGGGAGCCGGAAGTCCGCCCCTGTGTTACTTAGCAAAAAGTTCGTGTGATTATGTAGGCGCTCCACTTGCTTGAAAGTGGAACTTTTTAAATCATTTAAGAGTATTTAAAGTAGTTTTAAAACAAGTAAATCTCTTCACAGATCAAAAATATGCCATGTGTCGAGAAGTCATAAAGATGATATATCTTGTCTATCTTTATTTTGTATAATTTGACTTGATCTTAGGTCTTACATTTTGTTAACCTACTAATCGTTTCAAATTTTGTCCACTCAGGCGTTTGGCAGAAAATCTTACTGCCAATTGAGAAACTTCGACGAGAGGCCGACATGCTCAAACTCTTTCCACGGTTCATCACAGGGGAGGATATGTATGGTCTGCAAGAACCAGCCATTTTACACGTACTTGAATCAGTAAGTTTGGTATCTATTTCAACAGTAACAATTAATACAGAACAATGACAAAATATTTTGTAGAATGTCTTTAAAATTGTAAAATGATTAAACTTGCAGCTTCCTGGTGTTGAGCTGATTCAGAACTACAACTTTCGCTACGGACGATCACCGTACCTAGAGCTTCCATTGGCTATCAATCCATCCGGATGTGCCCGTACGGAACCTAAAATGAGAACACACGTCAAGAGGTACACAATTTATTTTCAATTGATGATTAAATCAAAAGATAATGAGAATGGCACCAATTATGATGACTACAATTCTTTATGTTTCTATTATTTATTTATTGAAAAACTCATTTTATTTCTCACTGGGGATCCTGTTCTTTAATCACTAAAATAAATCTTTGTCATTTAAGATCTCATACTCTGACAAGCAACACAACATCAAGGTCCTACCATCAACCACTGGTCACTGGTGATAGCATTTATCCATACAAGACATTCGTTCACTCGAAGACATCGCAATACCGTAAGATGAAGAGCGACTGGAAATCGAATGTCTTCTTGGGTCGCTCACAGATTCAGGTAAGGAAAGATGATCAGTATGCTTACACCCTCTATAGGCAAACAGAGTTACACACATTGTGATACATATAAGCTGTTATGATTGTACCCTTTAGAGGTAGAGGTTGTATGAATTGCAATAAATATGCTTAATGCTTTGGGGAAGCAAAGAGATGTTTAAGTATATTTTTTTTTTTTGGTGGGGGGGGGGGGTGTTCTTGCCATGCCAAAACCAGCACCAATGACCAGAGCAAGGAAATGGACTTTTAATATATTCATGTTTTCCATATTATAAGTTGTGAAATGATGAGTCATGTACTGGAATCGCCTTGCTATTGCCAAAGTTATGAGTAAAAGTATTATGGCTTCTGTACTAAATTACACAATACTGCCCCATTCTTATTGTAATTTCTCAGTTGAACATTTAGTGACAGTACGTGATATCATATATTCTCAGTGTACAGCTTAAAATCTAAATATTATGAATAGCTACTTTGTATATTCAATTAAGTTATTAACTTTGAATAGAAAATTGCAACTTAATGAAAAAGAGCAACATAGGATTGTCGGGTAAACTAATGGTAGCGCCACTGCGTGTGCCCACGCTAAAACGTGGACTTCCTTCGGTACCTGGTTCTGTTCCATCTGCTGCTCACCTTGTATTTCAGCTGGAGGGCTAAAACACGAGTATAAAATAGGTGCGCTGTCTATCGAAAGAGACGTTTAAGCGTTTGGTACTCCGTATAATATGGTGCACATGTGTGTTAAAGAACACAGTGCACTCCTCGGAAAAGAGTAAGGGATTGTCTCTCAGTGTACTGCGCTTCACCACCAGAAAGACCCCACTGAAATGGGGGACTGATTAAGTTCAACCAAGTCCAACAAATATTTCTTGCCAATTAACACGGGCATAAATAATATGAATGTTTAATTTGCTATGTTCTCAGGGTCTTGGACTGTATGCTGCCAAAGACATTGAAAAACACACTATGGTGATTGAGTACATCGGCACCCTGATCAGGAACGAGGTCGCCGACCGTAAAGAGAAGCACTACGAGGAATCAAATCGTGGAATCTACATGTTCCGTCTGGACGATGATCAGGTGATTGATGCAACGCTGTCCGGCAACTCTGCCAGATACATTAACCATTCGTGCAATCCCAACTGCGTTGCTGAAGTCGTTAGCTTCGAGAAGGACAACAAGATCATTATTATCTCCAACAGACGCATTTCCAAAGGCGAGGAGGTAAGAACAATTAGCATCAGAAATGTTTACAAGTATTTATAAGTGTTTACAAGTTGTTTGATAAACACTACATACTCTGAAACACGACTAAAAAGATGCTTTACAGCAATTTTTCCATTCCATACTTCAATATATAACCTGTACCTCAGGAAGTTCAACAGCATTTTCAACAGTGATTAAGTATGCTTTTTTTTCATCTTGTAATTATTATTTGCCAAAACTGAAATATCAAATCAAATCAATGTATTCTTGAAAAAAGGATACCATTTTATTAATCATATCTATCTTTTTTTTTCCAGCTTACCTATGATTATAAATTTGACTTTGAAGATGATTCGAACAAGATTCCCTGTGGCTGTAAAGCACCAAACTGTCGAAAGTGGATGAACTGAACAGGGGTCACAAACAGAGGTCACAAACACCTGATTGAGCTCCGACATGTTCTTGTGCTCTTATATGGATCACTTAGTGCAGCAGTGATGACAGATATGTCAAAAATCCTTCAGAAGCTTTTTATTGAATTATCGATTTCCATCAACATGAACAGTTAATTCACAGAGATTATATCACCTATGGCATTATTGAGAACAGCTCCATTAAATCTACATGGATTTAGAATACCTTGAGTCGACTGCAGATGATCAGTTACCTGAAGAAGTGAAGGAGTAACTGGTCTCTGCTTGTGTTTTGATTAACAAAAGTTGACAAAAGCTCTTGACATCCCCAAGAGATTCTATCAGAACCAGAACCTATAGACAGAACTTGGTTAGAGAGAGTCTCACCAAGAATATATTGTGACTTGCTATGAACCAGCTCATTTTGTGAAAAACGATTTCAGCTGGTTGGCTGGTATAGATGTAAAATTGGACTTGTCAATTTACTACAGATCGGGTATATCTGAAGATTAAGCAGTGGGAATATTTCACTGACTTAATTCCCAATGACATTACACACAAACCTAGGGTACAAAACACACTTATTAAACACTAGTAAATAATTGTTGCTCTATATCCTTATCACTCTACGACCAACAAATTGTTCATATAAGAACTATAGATATATATTAAGAATTATTACACATGATTACTATTGACTATTTAAACGAAAAATGTACATAAAAGTATAAATAACAATTGATGATCATTCACAATAGATAATATGATAGATAGATGTCAACTACGAACTATAAACCGATGGGTCATTAGTGGTAAGAGGGTGACATTGATGCCTACATCAGTACTAACACAGTGACAATCGGTGTTGTATTTAATCAAGTAATGATTGTTAAGCTCTTTCCAAACTATCAAATTTTCTTTGACAAAAAAAAAACTGTTGTATGCCCATATATAGTTATGATGTGCCTATATATGGTCATGATGTGATGTCATCATGACCATATTTAGGTATGTTGCATGTCTATGTCAAATAAAATTTGATAGTCTGGACAGGCCTTTAGTATACAAGTGATAGTTAATAAGCAGTATTGACCCAGCTGTCCATAGATATATACTCCCATGTATTTTCATGGAAATAATCTAGATAAACTGGCAGTATGTATGTGATAGTTTGACCATAGTCTGTCAATGAAATTGGAGGGGAGGGGAGGTGGGGGAGATGAGAGATTAGGTAAGTAATTTGAAAACAATGACCAGTCCTCATTTTAATGGCAATAATTTTGACACTACTGTATTTATCTAAACTAACACACATTATCGCCTCTTGTTTATAAAATGTTTTTAAATAATAGTAGAAACATGAGTCTGTCAATTTTCAATTAAAGTATATCATCTTTTTTTACTTGGTCCGCACAGGATAAAATAGCATGTGAAATATATTTAAATATATGTTAATTGAATTGTGCAGTTAAGTCACATAATTTACCCAGGATTCGCTCAATCCATTTGTAAAATTTTCTCTATTTTTTAGCAAAACATTATATAAACATATTAATATATAAATAAAATCAAAGTAATATATTGTACACAATTAATTCATATTTTGGAAAATTTTAGGAAGAAAATGAATCAATATTTACAATGATGATAATGATGATATGAGAGCAATCAAAACTAATATGTTAAATGGAATAATTTATACATTTGCCAGTACAGGCATTTTAACCAGGCTGAGGACTGTGTGAGATTGAAGTGACTCAATTCTCTCCAGTTCTTTCTTCTTCAAAGAGTCACATTATGGAAAAAAAAAAGAATGTATAGATAATGCAATTAGAACTATATTAAAAAGTTACCTATTGTATACCCCTCTTGTACAGAAAATCTTATCGTAACTGAGATAGATAAATCAAAGTATACCAACATGCTCTAAATAATGTAATAAATATTGCGATATTAAATTGTATAGGTGTTTTATCACATACACAAATGGAATTGTATACGAGAAATTGCAATGGCTTAAATTTAAGGAATGAACATAGAATTATCACAATGAACTTAAACAGGACTTATTTGTAACATAGTGAGTTGAGACCATTGTGATTTTATTTTCTCAACTGTCAGGGATTAGATTGCTTGTGAATCAAAAAGAAAAAAATGTAAATTTTGAGTTTACCAAACAATTAGTAATTGAAATTAGCAGCTGTTATTAAAACAAAATGAATTTTTTTTTTACTTTTGAAAAACATAATAATTCAACTATTTAATTCTCTTGTGCAAACTTTGCATGTTGGTGCTAAGTTTGAAATAGATTAAGAGTTAACAATATTTAAAAATATCCCAAATATGGAAAATATTGATTCATATCACCATAGTAAAAGTTTTGAACTGACCAATCACACTGTCATTATTTGAACACAAGATTTAAAATGGATCATTTTGATGAGTTAATAGATATTAATTTAGTAGTTAATAAGTCCTGGTAAATGGTTACATGCCTATTATCATTCTTGCGTTTTTTTGTTTTTTTATTATTATGACGTAGCCATGTGCGACAGAGACAAAAAATAGAATTTAAGTTAGAATAACACATTGTTGAAACTGTATTATAAAATTGGTGTATTGTATCTACATGAGAAAATCTTTCATGAATATTTCTTAACTTAAAACTGTAAAACAAGTTGTAAATTTACCATTATTTTGTACAACTATATTGAAGAAAATTTGTAGATTTGTCTCCAGTTTTTTTGGGTTTTTTTGTACATCTATACATAATTTTTTTTCGTATCAGATTAATACGTAGTATTCAAATGACCGATTGTCGTTGGGTGCTAGGCATGCTTTCTTCCAAGTCTTATCAAAAATGTGCTGCTTCGTTCTTGCCTACCAAGAACAAAGCAACAACAGTGTATGTCGTGTAAATATTCATAATTAGATAAGAGACTTTTATGAAGGCATATTATTTTCTACCGTTTGTGTGAATTCAGTGTTATTGTGAATACTTAGTCGCCATCCCCCGCTGCAATTCAACCAGTTTTTGTTTTTTTTTTCCATTTTCTTTTTCGATTAACAAGATGAAAAATCACTACAGAGAATATACTGGTTTTATATTCTGATTATTTTGTGGCCATGTAAACATTTAAGATTTCTATGTAATAGGAGCTTGTCACTTTTTGTAACATTTGTACAGATATTTTACAGATATGGTGTAATGATTTAAAAAAAATGTTCAATTGTAATAACTGGAATTTCCTGACTTTAAACAATGAACTTACAATTTTTTTTTTTTCCTTTTTCAGATTGCCATGTGCAATTTATAAACTTGTTACTGATGTTTTCTTTTGTTGCTGCTGATATCTTTAAAACAAATGGTTATTTTGAAGTCAATTGTTACTTATTTTGCAGTCAAATGTATTTAGCGTATACACAATTACTCTGTTCGGGCTTATTGGTGGCATTTCTACACCCTACAATAATTTTTTAGACATTGTGGGACAACTTTTATAACAAAACTTAGAATATATGTACAGTTAATATACAGTTGTTATAAGTATCTTGTAAATTATTCAAAAGGCATTTAGTTACAGTATAAAACAATGCTAAATTAAGGACATCTAATGAAATATACAATCATTTACCATAATGGTTATTGTTATTTTTTTCATTTATTTTTAAATTTATTATTGTCTCTGGCCTGTTTTTGTTGTGTTACTTGTGTTTGCAATTATGGAGCCAAACACAATCTTTGTTGTATATAGTGACTATCTAGTACATAAAGAATTATGATAGGGTATTTTCGTCATTTACTGTCTACTTCACTGTGAATAAATCTGTCTGTGCCGTGGTTCCGCCAATAAATGTTTTATTCTCATAGAAATTCTATAATCGTTCTTTGTCACTCAGTTTGTTTTGCCTCATTTCGGTTTTTTCATCCATATTTAATTGTTTTGGTTCCAGTCGGAGAGTGCCATTTCCGGCCATCCAGAGGAGGTGCCATCATAGAAACTTTATTTATTGCCCCAGTCATACTGGGGAGGTGGTCTAGGCCCAGTGATTGTGCCCCCCCTCTATATCAAATTTCTGGATCCACCACAAAGCATTTGTATAATTTCCAACAATTTCCACTTCCATTAAGTCTTCAGTCTCACCATATTAATTCACTACTTCATGTTGGTAGCATACTCCAAAAAAAAAAGAAAAGTACACTACCACCTAACACAACTAATGTAAACTTAAAAATTTAAAATAATGTATTGCTAAACAGCGGCTGAACCAGGATTTGGTGTGGCAATTAAGAACGTATGATCCGAGTGGGCGGTTTCTGGTTAGTGGGCGGGTTTGGTGTTCTAATGGTGTAGGTGTACAGCGGCTAAGAGTTTTTGATGTCTTATTTTGAAGATGGTTTGGCTGATGATGTGGGAAGGGAGCGCCCCTTTTTCCAAAACTGGACTCGCCACTGCTACTTTTTAAAAATTATTATTCAACAAAAAATAGGAACAATAAAAAAAAGTGTCCTTCGTCAATTAACGGGAATTAAAAAATGTACCATCCTTTAATTGTCTTTGCAATTTTGCCTTCAACGCTTATAAACTTCTGGCATCAGCTGTTCCTTGTTCTTTAAATTTATGTTTGATTGAAATCTAATAACTTTCTTCATTTACACATTTTGTAGCACCGACCGTATATTATCGTTAAACTAGGGAGGTAAAAATAATTATGTTTACATCTCCTTGGTTAAACTGTCTCGGGGTCCAGGGCCGTAGCCACGAGAATTGTGGTCAGATTTCGAGCGAAGCGCGAGCCTGATGATTGGGGCTAGGTGGCCGCCAAGGGCCCCATGTCGGGGTACCGGGGCCATTAAAAAATTAAACTAATATTATTGTAAGCCATTAAACTGAATATTAATAATATTCAGCCATTAAACTGTAATATTATTAACTAAGACTAATCAACACATAACATAAAACATGTACATATCAAAGTTATTATGTTTAATCTTTCCTCGTCGGTGCTTCGATCGGTGATTTCGATCTAACATAAGTATAATGATATTGATAAACAATCGAAATTCTCTGTAAGTATACAATATTATGCTAAACATTTACAGAGTGGACTTCCTTATATTCCTGATTCCTGATTCCTGATGATGACATAATTAATGTCGAAATATTGAATCCCAACACGATTGCGTGTATTTCAATACTTGGAGTATGTATTATACTTACTTCCTTATATGTTGTGGTCATATTAGACTGTAATATTATTATTAATGAAGCCATTCAAACAACATAAAAACATATACATGTCAAAGTTATTAGTTTAAAGTTCGCATGTCGGTGCATGCATAAAACCTAATTTTCTAAAATTTGGATACCTGAGATTGACAGACAAAATCATCTATACTATATGTACTAATTTAACGAGTGGACTTCCTTGATTTAAGGAAATATATATGTATATGTATATTGAGATATGCAAAGTTTAGAAGGTTAGAAGTTTAAAGGAGAGGACTTCCTTATGTTGTGGTCATATTAGACTGTAATATCATTAAAAACTATTAAACAAAAAACATAAAACCTATTAAAATTATTAAGTTAAACTTTCTACTTAGGTGCATGTATATAACGTAATTCGGATATATGAGATTTATATAACATTTGTGAATGTATTGTATATAAAATCTTAAATAGGCTTATTTTACATTAATCAGCAATCTATCAGAAATACAGGGATTGGTCATACTGTAAAGCCTTCTGAACCCCTGCAATACTAAAACTGGGATCCAACAGGCAGTGAATATTACATTTTGATTTAGTGTAGATGTTTTTTACATATTTTTATTTTATTTGAATTCTTTTTATTCTGTATTATTCATATGTTATATTTTCCAGAGACAGATAAATGAGTGCCTGAAATGATATTTTATGGGTTTCATATTACAGTACTTTCTATACAAACAGATATCATAAATCATCTATTGGTTGACTGTGTGCATTGAACATTTGGCGACGACGACGATAATCTCCAAATTCCCAACCGTAACTTAGGCTACGGGCCTCGCTTGATACTTCACATCAAAGGGCCTGTTAATTAATCTTGCACAGCTTCCTCCTTATCATCATCATCTTCTTCATCATCATAATTATTAATCGTCCATAGCAAAGTAGGGAAAAACTGTGAATTCGGAGTGTAGGCCTATTCAATAATAGACGTCTCATAATGCACGAAATGTATTTCAAAGCATCTAGAAAGTTCACACGATTCAATGAGTGAAATAACCTTGGAATGTACCACAACAATATAATAATTATATAGATTATTTCTGATTTTAAAATAACCTTTAGGTTTCTTTCTTTCAACCTTTGCATAGAAGTTTAGGCCTATGATCCAGAATGTAGGAATTATTCCTAAATACAGTGTATTCTGGTTCGATGAGATTGGAGCCAAGCGGCACGACATCGTCTCAACGATTCCATGCATAACATACTTTTTGTTTTGTCTACATTAACATTAAAGTGTTAATGTATACTTTATTAATTTAAACCATGTTGTAACCATGTGAAGTTTAAGATGACAATAGGTCATCCATAAAAAAGACAAGGTATCCTATTAAAAACTAAGGGGTCACATGTTTTGTCGATTGGCAAGTCGTTTATAAAGATGCTAAACAAGGTTGGGCTAAGGTCTAATATGAATTTCAAGTGGGATTGTAAATTTATCATTTTACGACATAAGATAGAATACCGATCAATGACTTTTTCAGACTTAAGCTTTATCTAGGCCAAGTACAGTCATTATAAATTCAGCCTTTTAAATTCTCTGTATATCCATAGAGCAAAGAAACAGGTATATCTATGGCTCTGTATAAATTCAGAGCCTATAGCTCTGTATAATTACCACCGCAGCGCCCTCGTTCGTTCGAGTTTGTGTCACGAGATTTGTATTAGGACTAGGCCTATTACGCATTGTATCTTGCTATTGTGTCTGCTATTGTTGCTGGCTAGTGGAGGAAAGCAGTGCATGCATAATTGTGTTTTTGTATATGGCTACGTGTTGCCGGTGATCTATAAAATCATAATATAATCGAAAATGGCCCTACTCTGGTTTATATGACAATCATATTGTTTAGTCTAAACTTCAGGGTGAGTATTAATCCTGATATAATTAGTAGTCCTACCTAGTAGCTAGGCCCTAGGCCTAGCCTAGTTGATAGGTTAGCCATCAGTAGCGTAGCTAGGGGAGAGGATAGGGCCACAGGCGTAACTAGTTTTATTTCACGTTAGGCCTAGTGTGGTCGTATCCGTCGTATCTTCTGTCTGTACGGTGTATCTCACTGAAAAGACCTCATCTGAGTTACTAGGCCTATGCTATGCCTAGCCTAGCTAGAACCATGCCTACTGAACTGTAATTTAGGGCCTAGGCTAGCTAGAAACAAAAAAAATTGAAATGTCCCAAATATTTTTTTTATTTATTTTTAATCGAAAGACATAACTGAATGAAGCATTTTAAAACAAAAAGTATGTAAATCGGACCAATATTAGCGGAGATATTGCTATTTTAAATATGTGTTTTGCTGGAGTTAATTCCTATTGTTTATATTATACTAGAAGTGTGTTCCTTACAGTATAATTATGTAGCATTTTAGGGCATGTTAAAATAATACTTGACAATTACTAACGATTATAATTTAGTATTTTAGTATATATATTTATATTAGATTTAATAATTTTTATCAACTTATAGATTCTACGTGTAATAAACTATATTGAATCGCATAACTCTAGGCCTAATTGCAGGCCTCAGACAACATGGTGGCCAGTGGGGAAAACATCGTTTACCCCGCGTGTAGCCGCCGCAAATTAATGAGGGTGCCCTCTATTCGCACGAGCCGAGCCTAGCTGAGGTACATGATAAGACAATAGAATTTTATGCCATCTATTTCAATTAATATGCACACAAATATTATTTAAAACTTATTTATCTTTGTAGTTTAAAAACTGAAGAAAACAAACATGTTAACCAAAAAACTAGCGAAGGTTTCCTTTTATTATTGAAAATCGACGAAACATTGGTTGTACTAAAAAAACTTCTACTAAATCGATTCGCGCACTTAAAAAGCCAATAACTTGGTCCAGAAATCATTTTTGGAGTGTTATCTGGAAGTAATTCGGTCAAATTGTTGTATACTTCAGCGAAATACCCAATTAATACATTGGATATCCTATCTCCGTTGGGGCACTATTTTCTATCGCGATGTTTGTATTGTCGATCTATAGCGCCCTCTATCGGTTTTGTATCTAGCTACCTAGGCTAGTGCGGGTGCCGATTTTTTTTTTTTTTTTTTTTTTTACTTTTTTTTGTGACTCAATATTTTGATATCTTGTTTGTATAAACTCCATGCTTGAATACAAAATCCTAGATTATAAAGAACATTAAAACTGTTCTTATCAATACTATACTATAAAAGTAAAATTACATTAATTCCAAGAGTGACACTGGCTTTTTGTAAAGTTAATCATGTTGTTATTATTATTAATATTATTAAATTCCTTTAGAGCAGTGGCTTACAATTTACAAATATTTATAACAATGTTCATTTCATAAATATTTCTTGTGTAATTGTTATTTACACATTAAAAAATTTTGTCTACATGTACGACCACCGCCTGGATATGTTGGGCATCATGTTAACATAATTCCTTGGCTAAGGCCACGCTATCTTGTTGAAACAAATATCTAAAACCATAGCTACAGTACTCTGATATTGCTGGTCCTTTCCAATCAGATTACATCCCCGGTTCCAAATACGTCTCCTTATCCTCACTTCATTCTTATGACCTTAATCTGCTCATTGTTCCAACAGTTCACTAAATTCTATGGCCACAGATCATTTTTATTTTTAGCTGTCGTCACACTTTGGAACTCCTTCACTAAACATATTGCAGACTCACCTTCAGTTGCTATTATTAAGACCAAACTCAAAACTCACCTTTTTAACATTCTAAACATTCACAGACCTTTGTTATTATTATTATTATTATTATTATTATTATTATTATTATTATTCCAGCACTGTATGAAGAAGGAACAGCTGGAGGTGTGGGTTTGGATAATTTTGATAGATATTTATTTCTCCCCCCCCCCCTCCAAAAGTAGGCCTACCTTGTACAGTACTTTCAATGCATTTCTTTTGTTTATGGTATTATGATTACAAATATATAACATAAAATGAAAAAAGAAAGTTAAAGAACAAAATGAACAAAGATATTGAAATGATACAGTGCTGTCGACATTGAACCAATAATCTAGGAATTTAGCAGCTGAACTGCTACTTTGTGTTAATTTAAGTGCATTAATAACTTTCAATTGAACATTAGAGAAAGAAAATGTAAATATTACTTTTTGTAAATTGTTGAAACTGAAATTGATCGGTGTTGTCTTATGAGTTAAATAGAGCTTTGAAATTATTATGGGGATCTATTCTTATTGCTAATTTGTTGTGATCAGTAGTTTTTTTGTGTAAGTTTGTATTAAACAGTTTCTCGGTTTTATTTTGGTTTCAATTTTTTTAATGTGTGGACGTCTTTTGTTAAAAAATCGTAAATACAGTTCAATGAACAATAAAGATTAAATGTTATTTATTAATTCTCTGCCTTGATTGTTTTTCTGTTTAATACAGGTAAAGCCTTTCGTAGTTGTGAGATGGCAACTGCCAATACATCAATTGTCACCATCCCCCCGGCAAATAATAATCAATTCTTACTGAGGACCATCCATACAGTATTACAGCTGTCTCTTATACACATCTAGATGTGTAAAAGAGAAGGCCCTAGGCCTAGCTTAGTTGATAGGTTAGCCATCAGTCGCGGTAGGATAGGGCCACAGACAACACACATATTAATAGGACATTAGGGGGCCCGCCAAGGCGTAACTAGTTTTATTTCACGTTAGGCCTAGTGTGGTCGTATCTCCTGTCTGTACGGTGTATCTCACTGAAAAGACCTTATCTGAGTTACTAGGCCTATGCTATGCCTAGCCTAGCTAGAACCAGGCCTACTGAACTGTAATTTAGGGCCTAGACCTACGCAGGTGCCGATTTTTTTTTTTTTTTTTTTTTTTTTTACTTTTTTGTGACTCAGACTGTCCTTGATTAAATATTTTGATATCTTGTTTGTATAAACTCCATGCTTGAATACAAAATCCTAGATTATAAAGAACATTAAAACTGTTCTTGTCAATACTAGGCTAGCTAGAAACAAAAAAAATTGAAATGTCCCAAATATTTTTTGATTTATTTTTAATAGAAAGACATAACTGAATGAAGCATTTTAAAACAAAAATTCAAAAAACTCAAAACTCACCTTTTTAACATTCTAAACATTCACAGACCTTTGTTATTATTATTATTATTATTATTATTATTATTATTATTATTATTATTATTATTATTATTATTATTGTTATTATTATTATTATTCCAACACTGTATGAAGAAGGAACAGCAGGAGGTGTGGGTTTGGATAATTTTGACAGATATTTATTTCTCCCCCCCCCCCCCCCCTCCAAAAGTAGGCCTACCTTGTACAGTACTTTCAATGTTTTCTTTTGTTTATGGTATTATGATTACAAATATATAACATAAAATGAAAAAAGAAAGTTAAAGAACAAAATGAACAAAGATATTGAAACGATACAGTGCTGTCAACATTGAACCAATAATCTAGGAATTTAGCAGCTGAACTACTACTTTGTGTTAATTTAAGTGCATTAATAACTTTCAATTGAACATTAGAGAAAGAAAATGTAAATATTAGTTTTTGTAAATTGTTGAAACTGAAATTGATCGTTGTTGTCATATGAGTAAAATAGAGCTTTGAAATTATTGTGAGGATATATTCTTATTGCTAATTTGTTGTGAACAGTAGTTTTTTTGTGTAAGTTTGTATTAAACAGTTTCTCGGTTTTATTTTGGTTTCAATTTTTTTAATGTGTGGACGTCTTTTGTTAAAAAATCGTAAATACAGTTCAATGAACAATAAAGATTAAATGTTATTTATTAATTCTCTGCCTTGATTGTTTTTCTGTTTAATACAGGTAAAGCCTTTCGTAGTTGTGAGATGGCAACTGCCAATACATCAATTGTCACCATCCCCCCGGCAAATAATAATCAATTCTTACTGAGGACCATATCCGATGTTGTTAGAAAAAATGGTATGTTCTGCATTTTGTACTGTATGAAATTTGAATTTAAACTCTGCTTGCATCAACTACTGTAGACAGATAAACAGACCCCATTTCCAGGCCATTTTATTGCAATAGGATAATTATATTGTATACTCTTTTAAATGATTTTGATTCTAAATTAAGCATTTTGATTGTAGGAAATACCATACAGTATTACAGGGGTGGACAAACAAATATGCAGCACCAGAGTAAATTTCTGGTTAAAAAATGAGGTTTGCACCCAAACTTTGATGTTTTCATAAAAACATTAATGCACTGCGTATACCTTTATGCTTAGTTTTAATATTACTTTTTACAGAGGATCATTGGTGTGGGGACAATGCGTAATAACACAATAGTTTTCTAGCCAAGGATTATAGGGGACACATTATAGGTTTTCACATGGCACAACAATATTGCTGTTTGCCCTTACCTTACCTTACCGCTCGCTTCTCCTCATTTGGAGATTAAGGCCTCGTTAATTATTTCCTTCCCCTTCTTCTGGTCTTTTGCTACAACTGCGGTTTCTTTCCAGTTGTTGAAGCCTAGCTTGCAGTTTGCCCACCTGTGCATTATTACATTGTGTTTGATGAATAATTTTCTCTTGAACAAAATAATATTTTTTTATTAATTTTTTATTATGTCTGGTGCTGTGCTTCTTATCCCTGGTTTCTTTTCTTTGTTTGTGTTGTGAATTTCTTAAAATTTGGTGTTTTTTAACTGTATAGCAATTTTTGTAATACATTCATATGCAGCCTTTTGGCTGTCTGTTTGTAAATCTTATCCTTGAAGACCTTGAATAATAAACTTATATAAAACAAAATTATATAACTTAAGAAAAGATAAAAGTTTTTCTTTTAAGAAAAATTGTCTGTTGGTAAAAATATAAAACAACCATTTAATATAACGGTCAAATATATTACATCAAATTTCAATGACAAATACAAACTGATTGCTGAATTTTTCAACTTTATTACAATGGTCCTTAATTAAACCATATTTCCTCCATAATTAAACTTACTACCTACTCTAATTTCAATGGCAGATGCAAACTGGTAGAAAGTTTAGATTTTGTAAACCCAAATTAATTTTAGGTATTGAATTTTTGTTCTCACAAGAAAATATCCGTCTAGTTACTAAATGTTTAATTTTTCATTAGAAAAACGAATCCTTCGTGGTGAATGCAAGCTCTCACTGGATACGCTATCATTAGCCTGTCTGAACCACTTTTTTGCCGTGCACTACGAAGGTCTAGGGACCAGCTCAGCAAGTAAGAATGGTCTGGATAAAAAGCATGTCAAAGATGTGGAGTTTCTGTTTGAAGTTGTTCAGAAGACCCCCATTATGAAGGTAAAGTAGTCATTGTGATTTATTTATTTATTATTTACTCAGGAAAACAATACAAAGTTCACATTTACATAAAATATAATTAGTAGTTCCTAGAAAAGATTAAAGAGAATCATAAAGCCACTGTCACCAGCAATAATGTGAACCTCCACCTACTATTTAGTTACAAAAAGATTACTAATTATGTTTCTGATATTATGCGGATGTGCTTTGTGTATTATTACTGTACTAACATAGTATTAGGATGGTAAGGTAAAAAATATGTTTTGTTTGTAACTAGGTCTTATTCTATGGTGGATAGTGAACCATCAGTCACCCATAAAATTTGCCTACTAAAATGGTAACTACTAGTCTAAAATATATATAATTAAGTTTTCAAATTATATAAAGATTTGAAAACTTTTGTAAACCATTCAAGCTCCAGAAAAAAAAAAGTTATTTAAACATACTGTCTGCGTCATGAGTTAAACAATTAAAAAAATCAATTTCATATTTGAATTGCCTTATATGTATTAGCTTACAATTAAAATATTTTTTTTTTAAAATAGTTGACCATATATTTTTTTAAGATTTTTGGTCAGTCAGCCTTGCACAACACAAAGTGTTTTTCTTTTGCTGTGATGATTATGATGATGATGAGGAAAAGGATTAATGTTAATATTTTATGTGAAGGAGGTTGATGTCGTTTGTGATGACATCGACAACAGCGACCATGTAATAATATATTGAGTAGCCATACAAGTCTGTAGTAGTAGAATGTCTTTGTCTCAATTAACATAGAAGTAGAAGAAACGAATTGCACTTCAAGTGGTTGTGATATGAGTCTCGATTTACAACTAAAAATAGCCGAGACTAAACTAGCATCTGACTCAACCAGCATGTCATATATCATATCATTTTATTTAACCAGTAAAAACAATTTAAAAAAAATGTATGGCCAGGCTGCCTGGCTGGATTGCCCAAAAACAATGCATAGTTACTGTCACAGGGCTCTCCTGGGAGCACATACAGTACAATAATACAAGAGACATTCAAGTATGTAAACAGATAACTATATATATATATATATATATCAAAAAAAGGTAAATACAGTGTTCGAATAAAGGACATAATATAATTTTGATAAATCATCAAAGAAAGGTACACTGTATTTACCTTTCTTTGATGATTTATATATGATTTAACAGTGTTAACGGCTACCTTGATTTATGTTATAT